TTTAGTTCATTGTTAGGTTTTAGATATGCTTCAACCTAATTGGTTGATTCTTTTGAGTCTCCATTCTTTAGCACGTGACAAAGTGTCACTTAACGTTTAGTCTATTTCAAAAACACTAAAGTTCCAGAAATTAAGCCTTGTTGGCGCAATCGGTAGCGCGTGTGACTCTTAATCACAAGGTTAGGGGTTCGAGCCCCCTACAGGGCTTTGTTTTTTTCTTTTTTTCGGCGCACTTTGACTTGTGTAAAGTAGAGATTGTGACGATTCCTCGTGCTGTGTGATAATCCTAATTTCAGATGTTGTAGGCGAAGAAAAAATTATTGTCGGTTCAGAATAAAATATATGTCGATGCCCATTGGCATCGATGTTCTATAAATATGGTATACATGAGAAGTTAAAATTTTTTCGATTAATTAAATGCATTTCAGAGATTCAATAAGAAGAGACTAAGAGATGGGGAGCTTAATTACAGGACATAACATCATCAACGTTAACGTAAGCACGATAACTCTGTGACATTATCAAGTAATGTAATCTAGCACACCAGATCTACCATATTACAATCATCTTTAATTTATCACTTACGATCAGTTATCTATACAATATATAATCGAATTACAAATAATTAACTTTCTACAACACTTTCCTTTAAATTAAATAGCCATATCTCCTTGAATTAGCAACATTCTTGTATACAATGTAATAACTGGGAAAAGATCAGATTTTTCTGTGACAACTTGCTTTACTCACACAATTAGATCCTCAATAAATTAATAAAAATGAGTTGTTTTAATTATTATTTATCCATCACTGTTATCGTAGAGAAAATTAAGCCCCTCAAAAACTAATCTAGAAAGTAGCTGAGTCTGAAAATGGTTCAACAACACTTATCACCAAATATTTAAAATTCTTCAATCATTATTGAACACATATTTCCTTCTTCTCGGATTTTGACACCCTGCAATACAGTTATTATTTATATTGACAACCGCATTGTGTCATTGGTTGCAGCATTTTTGAAATAATTGTCTCCTTTAAACGAACTTTACTTACAATATGTCTAGGGAAATCCATGATCCTGACTCCCAAAGTATCATTCAGCTTCCTGGCAAGTAAAGTTAGTCTCCAGATTAGTGACACATATGTCTACTCGATGACACATCACTGTTCACGAACATCATCGTAAACGAGGGCCGGAAATATTTTCATCGGATCACGCGGCGAGTAGCGATGAGTAACTATTGTCTTCTCGATGATGAATACATTATATAACCCCCAGCAATGCAAACCTCCTAACTGGTTGAAATAGATATGTTGTATATTTTAAGCGTATGTTTGCAATTATATCTAAATCGATAAATCAAAAATAAATAAGTAGATTTACAACAATGAAAAATCCTCTAAGTAAAGAGTACTGGACTGAAGTCGTTGACGGCTTTAGACCAGCTGAGACTGGAAACGGAACAAGGAACAATAACGACAGTAGTAGCGAAATGGAACTAACTACAGAACCTACCACATCCGATATACCTGTTGGTGAGGGTAGCGCATTTTCCCAGACTGAAAAGAAACTTTCTGCAACAACAACATCGCATCTACTGCAAGGTGACTCGAAGGATGGTCTACGCTTAACACAAACTACTAACGATATAACGTCTACTACATCCCAAGAAAAACTGCAAGATGTTGCAATGAACAAAGATTTAGACGTCCGTCACTTGATTACACTAGCTGTTGGTGGTGCGATTGGTACGGGTTTATTCGTTAACTCGGGTGCCTCATTGACTACCGGTGGTCCAGCCTCATTAGTTATTGGGTGGATTATTGTCTCTACATGTCTTTTCACTGTTATCAATGCCCTTGGTGAACTTGCTGCTGCATTTCCTATTGTTGGTGGTTTCAATGTGTACATCACAAGGTTTGTTGATCCTGCACTAGGGTTTTCTATCAATATCAATTATCTAGCTCAATGGTTAGTTCTGTTACCATTAGAACTTGTTGCCGCTTCAATTACTATCAGATATTGGAATGAAGAAATTAATTCTGATGCGTGGGTTGCAATCTTTTACACTGTTATTGGTTTAGCCAACATGTTAGATGTGAAATCTTTTGGCGAAACTGAATTTGTATTGTCTATGGTGAAGATTCTTGCCATTATCGGGTTTACCATCCTTGGGATTGTATTGACTTGCGGTGGTGGTCCAAAAGGTGGTTTTCTAGGTGGTAAATACTGGCACAACCCAGGGGCCTTTGTAGGAAGCACGTCTGGCTCAAAGTTCAAAGGTTTATGTTCAGTATTTGTTACTGCTGCGTTTTCTTATTCTGGTATTGAAATGACAGCTGTATCTGCTGCAGAATCTAAAAACCCAAGAGAAACAATTCCAAAAGCTGCAAAAAGAACTTTTTGGTTGATCACTGCATCTTATGTGACTATTTTAACACTTGTTGGTTGCTTGGTTCCATATAATGATCCAAGATTATTGAAAGGTACTTCTTCTGTTGATGCTGCCTCATCACCTTTAGTCATTGCAATCGAGAATGGTGGTATCAAGGGTCTACCATCCTTAATGAATGCCATTATTTTAATTGCTATTATCTCAGTCGCAAACAGTTCCGTCTATGCTTGCTCCAGATGTATGGTAGCTATGTCACACATTGGCAACATTCCTAAAATGTTCAGTCGTGTTGATAGAAAGGGTAGACCATTGAATGCAATTTTAGCAACTTTATTTTTCGGTTTATTATCCTTTATTGCTGCTAGTGACAAACAGGAAGAAGTTTTCACATGGTTAAGTGCTTTGTCAGGTCTATCTACGATTTTCTGTTGGATGGCAATTAACTTATCCCATATTAGATTTAGACAAGCCATGGTTGCGCAAAATATATCCTTAGATGAACTTCCTTTCATTTCACAAACCGGTGTATGGGGTTCATGGTATGGTTTTATAGTTCTTTTCCTTGTCTTGATAGCATCATTTTGGACTTCTTTGTTCCCTGTTGGTGGTTCTGGAGCAGATGCCGAATCGTTCTTTGAAGGTTACTTATCATTTCCTATCTTATTAGCTTGTTACTTCGGTCACAAACTGTGGTTCAAAAGAAAACAACTCATGGTAAACCTTGATGAGATGGATTTAGTCTCAAACAGAAGACCGGTCGATCTTGAATTGCGTCGTCGTGAAATGGCGCTAGAGAAGGAAGCATTAGCTAAACGTTCCATTTGGTTTAAATTCGTCCATATCTGGTGTTAAGAACCCGGCCCAAAATGACATCTTCTCTTATACACGCATACATATACATATATACACACACACATATATATATATTTAATTTATTATAATAATTAAAAGAAAAAAACTGCACTTTACTGATTGATACAAAATTCTTTTGTAGAACTCTGATCAGTAACGTCTTAAATTAAAGGAACGTTACCCTCACGGGTGACTTAACCATGGAAAAAAAAGTTACTTTAAGTTTGGACATTTTTTGCTCAGTCACCGCAAAAAAAAAAATAAAAAAACGCTGTGAATCTTCGTCGAAAGAAAATTACTGAAAATTTTTTTCTTTGATTGGGTCATCAGGAAGTATAACTTTTGCAACTTTAAAGAAGGTCTAAAGGGTAAAAAGATCCATAAAGGACTTATTGTTGGTTTAAACTAATCATTTATAGCAATTGTTATACCGAGAGAAATTTGTTCATTCCAAATATTTGAAAATGTCAATTAACCACTGTAGATTTTATGAAAACAAGTACCCAGAGGTCGATGATATCGTCATGGTGAATGTTCAGCAGATTGCTGAAATGGGTGCTTATGTGAAGTTACTTGAATACGACAACATCGAAGGTATGATTCTACTGTCTGAATTGTCCCGTAGACGTATTAGATCCATCCAAAAATTGATCCGTGTTGGTAAGAATGATGTTGTGGTTGTTCTAAGAGTTGATAAGGAAAAGGGTTACATTGATTTATCAAAACGTCGTGTTTCTTCCGAAGATATTATTAAATGTGAGGAAAAATATCAAAAATCTAAGACTGTACATTCCATTCTAAGATATTGTGCTGAAAAGTTCCAAATTCCATTAGAGGAACTTTATAAGACTATTGCTTGGCCATTGAGTCGAAAATTCGGCCATGCTTACGAGGCCTTCAAACTTTCCATTATTGATGAAACCGTTTGGGAAGGTATTGAACCACCATCTAAGGATATTCTAGATGAACTGAAGGTGTATATCTCTAAGAGATTAACCCCACAAGCTGTTAAGATTAGAGCAGATGTCGAAGTCTCTTGTTTCAGTTATGAAGGTATTGATGCCATTAAAGAAGCTCTAAAGGCCGCCGAAGCTTTAAGTACCGAGCAAATGTCCATTAAGGTTAAGCTTGTTGCTGCTCCATTATATGTTATCACTACACAAGCCCTTGACAAACAACAAGGTATTGAATTATTGGATAAAGCTATTGAAAAGATTAACGAAGTTATTATGAAATATAACGGTGTTTGTAACATTACTATGGCTCCAAAGGCTGTGACTGCCACTGAAGATGCTGAGTTACAGGCTTTATTGGAAAGTAAAGAGTTAGATAACAGATCTGATTCCGATTCTGATGAAGAAAACTCTGATTACGAATAAATTTAAAAATTGGTAATAAAAAAAAATCATTATCGATCAATCACTTAATTAACAGCCATTTCACTAACTACATACCTCTAGCACATATTTTAAAAGAAAAAAAAACGTAAAATATACAATAAAATATACATACACGTATAACAACAATTCATAATTTAATCATTATCTAACTAATATTGTTGTTTTAACAGTAAATAAGACAACTGTGGCGTCATCGCTATTATTGGATTTTGCTTGTTTTTTGACATAAATTTATAAATTAAAAAAAACTACGTAAGTATTAACATTTAAATAAAGTATATTATATTTAATTGTTATAAATTTTTGAGATCATTAGAGGTACCACTTCATTAACAAAAGTGAATTAACAAAAAGAATAAGAAAATAATTTTTTATCACATTATTATTCTCTTTTAGTTAGCAGCGACATGTTCGACCAAATCGACAACTCTGGTAGAGTAACCATATTCGTTATCGTACCAAGAGACTAACTTAACAAACTTTGGAGATAATTGAATACCAGCAGAGGCATCAAAAATAGAAGAATGTGAATCACCTAGGAAATCAGAGGAGACAACGGCGTCTTCAGTGTAACCAATGACACCATTGGACTTAGCAGCAGCGTCCTTTACAACCTTCTTGATTTCATCGTATGTAGTTTCCTTAGATAGCTTAACAGTTAAATCAACTACAGAGACATCGACAGTTGGAACTCTAAAGGCCATACCTGTTAACTTACCGTTCAAAGCTGGTAAAACCTTACCGACAGCCTTAGCAGCACCAGTAGAAGATGGGATAATGTTACCGGAAGCGGTTCTACCACCTCTCCAATCTTTATGGGATGGACCATCAACAGTTTTTTGAGTGGCAGTCATAGAATGGACAGTAGTCATTAGACCTTCATCGATACCGAAAGCATCGTTGATAACCTTAGCCAATGGAGCCAAACAGTTGGTGGTACATGAGGCGTTGGAGACAATAGTTTGACCAGCGTATTCCTTTTCGTTAACACCCATAACAAACATTGGAGCAGAACCAGATGGGGCAGTAATGACAACCTTTTTGGCACCAGCATCTAAATGCTTTTGAGCAGTGTCCAATTCCTTGAAGACACCAGTAGAGTCGATAGCGATATCAACCTTAGAGGCACCCCATGGCAAATTAGCTGGGTCTCTTTCTTGGTAAACGGCGATCTTGTGACCATCGACGACAATATGCTTGTCATCGTAAGTAACTTCACCGGCATATCTACCATGAGTAGAATCGTACTTGAACATGTAAGCGGCGTAATCAGTGGCAATGAAAGGATCGTTGATAGCAACAACATCGATATTCTTTCTGCTCAAAGCAATTCTTAGAACTAGTCTACCAATTCTACCGAAACCGTTAATAGCAACTCTGACCATGATTTAAAAAGTGATTTAATAATAAGGGGGGTTAGTTTTTTGTTTTAAAATGTGAACTTTTGAATGTTAGAATGATGTTCTTTACACTAAAAGTTTTCTGATGATCTTTAATTGACAAACAATAATAGAGCTAAAATATATAAATTAAAATATAACAGAAAATGATAATGATTATATTTTGAGAAAGTACTAGGCTTTATATATTAATCAAACTTGAAATGAAAAACAAAAAAAAGGTAGGACCATCATGGCAAAATATAAAAAACAATAACCATTACTAAAAAAAATTGATAGGTTTGCTTCCCCTAAAGACTTATTATGTGCGCAGACTATCAAAAATTTAAGATATATGGCACCCATAAATTTGATTTCAAAATGTAATCATATATTTCTCTCAAAATTAGAAAGGTCAAAATCATGCTACTTAGTGGCATGTGTACAGAAGCCTATCATATTATAACTTGGTTATTCTATCATCGTGACACGAACTGATACATTTTAATAGAATCCCAAAAATAGGGGAACTTCAAGAGATATGTACCATATAGGTTAAACGTATAATGGTGGTAGCTACCAAGTGAGTTACGTAAGTAATATATTGTATCGTGAAAGAATATACGTATATGTTAAAAACTACTCAGAGAATAGGTGTCGAATGATACTCCGAGAATTTAAATACGTAGTTAGTTACCTTTATGATAGGAATCATACAATAAATATTGAGTACATAGGCGTAGTAGCAAAATATATTTTAATGTGTCTGTTAGTCTGTCGACCATCATTAAATATTGTCTCTCAGCTGACTATCAAAAATTTTAAATAAAAAACACCTCAGAGAACCTTGCTTCAATACGTAAAAAGAAAAGTTCAGTTTAAATTAATTAATGATGTGTCCGGAGTAAATGTAATATTGTTGCTAGCAAGGACTAGAAGAATTTAGCTTATTTAAAGTTTGACAATGTATTCTCTCATTATGTGTCCTATCAAATGTCTGCTGACGTGATCTCTGGGAGCCTACCTGAAAAGAAAAAAAAATAGATTGCTTCCGTGTCTCCGTGCATCCGTGTTTCATGCGGGAAATTTCAGAAAATCACAAAAAAGCAATTTTGCACGAGGGAGCCGAGAGAGAGTCGGAGAGTCGGCTGGTAAGACTTTGCGAAGGTGGATACCACTTGTCTCAGGGGTGTATGGGTCTTTGATATTTGAGGGTGTCTACAGAGAAACAACTGCAGAACAGGATTGGAAGTGGAAGCCAGCCAAAGCGACGGAGGCTTGTGATCAGGGATATTTATCGTCTTTTACGACAACTTTTTATACTTTTATATATATATGCTTATCCTTTATTAGTGACACAAACGTATACATTGGTTACACTAACTATTAGGCCAGTAATAAGACATAACTCTTGGAATTTTTGAAGAAATGTCAATTCAAATATTAGTGTGATTGTTACTATCTTTATGGTGTAGAATGTACCAGCTTTTGAATAGTGGAGGTATGTACTTGAACATAGTCCTTTAATGTGTAGTTACAGCAAAAAAAGAAAGAATTTTGATCTCTGTTTATTGCTTTTAAAATATTACCGAATTTACATTTGTATACGTATATGAGTATATATATAGAAAGATATAGAGATGAAATTTTACAAGGTAAACAATGTACTGGCTATCATTCGCTTGAAATGGCAGATGCATGAGATTCTTCTAAGAAATCAAGTCTGTTACCAATATACTGACACATACTTCTGAAATCATTAGCATTCATTTTATCTTCCAAATACTTAAATAAAGATACTTTCTTTTCGCCACATAAGACTTCGTTAAAGACTTTAAAATTTTCTAATTCAATATCATAATTCTTTAATCTACGTAGATTTGTAAATGAACGAATATGTTTCCCATCAACAATAAGATCATCATCTGTCCATAAAGTATAAGGATCAAATTTAGGTAGATTGGAATGGATAAACATGACATCCACTTCTGGTTGTTTTTCACCATCTTCAAAATATTCTTTGTAAAATGATTCAACACTATACTCAGGATCATAAGCTAAACCTGCTTTGGCATATTTGTTAGATATATCAGTACGAGCTTTAACATATTTCCCATAATCTTGAATAAAATCATGTTGCAACATGGCAACACCACGATAACCTTTATCATTAGGTTGATGATATCCATCAACACCAACATTAGTCTTTACTTGATAGAATGGTAAGTCATAAAAATTTGCAGCTGCAATAAAGGTTTCTTTATCACCTTCACCTGCAGCCTTTTGTGAAAAGATAGGATAATACCACGTTGGACCATTAACATTGTAGTATAATGCTAACAATACTGTGGCTAAATGTTTGGATTTGTTAATTAATAATTGACCGGATTCAGTAGACACATCTGGAATTGTCCCAAGTAAATCATGGAATGGAACTTCTTTCAAATCCATTAAATTTTTTGTATACACATGAGGTGGAGTTAAATCATCAATAGAATTACGTATTCTTGTCTTAAAATCAATTGTTCTACCCGCAATCTGGTAATATAACGGTTGAGTAGTACGTCTCCAGAAATCTGGCCACATAACTAATCCTGTGGTCTTATATGGTTCAGCCTCAAAGATATCATCTAATGGTTTAATAGGGAAATTATCAGCATCTAATAATAGTAAATTTTCAAAACTAGATGCAATAATAGCAATAGACTTAAATTGATATCCCTTAAACTCAAAATTATTAATCATTTCTTGTGGTAAGATGTCACTGATATAGACACATTTGGCATTGTATTTTGGTAATAATATATTACAAAATTCTGTCTCACCCTCATCATTTGGGGGGATGAACACTTCTACGGGTAATGTTGTTCCCAACTTCCTAAGAGTTCTAATAACCAAAAATGCCATTAGAGAGAACTTACCACCACCCACTGTAACAATACCATCACCTTTATAAGAATCCTTAGGTAACACTAGTTTATTTAATTGCTCGATAAAACTTGCATGGGAGTTAGACAAATTTTCAATCTCTGTGAGATCTAACTCCAAGCAATCGATCAACTCGGTGAAAGACAATTTGAACCAGTTCTTGTAATCATCTGGTCTATTTCCGACATCAGTCGATAGTTTGCAGTTCTCACTGTATACACGACGGCACTTTCCTGTCGGCGAATGGTCAATGATACTTTGAAATACACTGCTATAAAATTTTAGCAAACGCTCGTCCTTAACTTTATCCTCTTTAGTATTACCGTTTAATTCATTAGAGGTACTTGATGTATCGATGTGACTCTTTAAATAGTCTCTGTATTGTGATACACTGAGATTTGAATAATCGTTTCCCTCACGTACGGACTTGATGATTCTATATACCCCAAGAACAGCCAAAGCAGCTAGTATAATCTTCAACAGCTTCCCAATTCTTTTATTAATCAACATTCTTCAGTCCTTTTGAACTTTACTTTATTTTACTGGCATGAGGTTGTTCTTTGTCTTGAATATGCATCGCTGTCTTTAAATTCAAAATGTTTAAAATTATTTTCAGCTGCAAAGCAAAAAAAAAAATATTTCATCAAATATTAAAGACCCCACATCAACAAATACCAAACAGAAATATCACAGGCAAAGAAAATACCAATAAAAGAAAGGTAAATGTCTGCACAAGACTACTACGGGAGCTCAAAGGTCCAGTATAACAGACCAAATAATAATTCGCAAACTCAGCAGTACTCTCAGCATCAACAGAATAGGGGCTATCAACCACAGCAACAGCAACAATATCAACAACCACCACAATACTACCAACAACCACAACAGCCACAGTACTATCAACAGCCACAGCAACCAATTTATGTTCAACAACAACCTCCTCAACGAGGAAATGATGATTGTTTAACGGCATGTCTTGCGGCTATGTGTGTCTGTTTAACATTGAACGTCATCTTTTAATAATATACATATCTATATTTATGTCAAAAATTCAAATATTCTCTAAATTAAACCACCGTTATGCAAACTATATAAACACATAATACATAATAATAGCATAAATTATTTTAAATTATGAGGCGAAAGATTGAAGGAAATGCAACTCGTGGTCGTTGAATGATATTTGCGATAGTTGTTGTTGGCGAGACATCAGGAAGTCTACAACTTCTTGGGTGAATACTGACGTGTCGACGTTTCTTGATAGACCTTCAATTATTTTATGTAAAGTGGTGTTACTCATCTGCACAGTGCTGCTCAAGGCTGTAATTTTGATGAACCCTAGGTAAGCACTGCTCTTCTCTTCGATAGAATCTACTGGGTTCACGAAGTTGCACCAACTAGTCCAAACAGCATCATTAGCAAACTTACCTGTGTTGAACACCTCAGGGTGTGTCATACCCATCCTTCCAATTGTAATGGCAACATTCTCTAAAATAGCGAGGTCAACATCCTGTAAAGTAGTTACAAACAAGTCCAATAGAATTCCAGAAAGATCTATGATATACTGGGCTAAGTCGATGCGTTCACTGATAATACCAAGAGCCCATACCGCATTTACCACGCTAGGTATACCTTCGATATCATCATTATGCATTGCTTCAATACCGATGAATTTAAGAAACTGAGATAAATAACCACTTAGTACCTGTGTATCAAAAAACGTCACGATATCACCTAATAGTGCAAAAACACTTTGTCTAACCTCATGAACCGGATCCTGTAAGCACTCTAACATGATTTGGAGTAACGTTCTATCCGTCTGACCAGGTATCAGTAATGGCTGAGCATTCTCACCGAGTGCTTGAACAATCCCATCAATAAGGTCAAGTGACGTGATTGTGAAATCCTTTTCCGGTACCACTATTGTCGGATCGTTATGGGACTTGGATTCGCTTTCTACGCAATGACAAAGAATTCTATAGGCCCTCGAATAGACCTCGGGTGCCATTGGAGCAAATCTTTCCCCTAAGGATGATGCGACACACGATAAGCATTCTAGTAAAGGCCATAGTTCCTTATCATTGTCTGGTAGAGCAGACCATTTTGAAATTAAATGCGGTAAGACTATTTGCATACCCTTATCATCTAACTCAACTTTCTCTGCGAAACGACCCACAGCATCATACAGTATAATTAGGTTTTTCTTTTTGTATAATGTGAAGCATTTGTCAAAACTCTGAAGTAAATCATTGTAAAGTAAGGTTTCTATCAATTCAGTATCACAGTTCTCGATAAATACCGCTACACTACTAATGGCGGCTTCCTGGACATCTTTTTTATTATCTAATAATGTAGCCACAATAGGTTCAAGAACAGGAATCAAAAATTCGGTATGATCCTGCAAAATCCATGGTGAAAATCTACTTAGTGTCCAACATACAATTTTCCGTACTGGTGCCCAGGTATCTTTCAATTGCTCTACTAAAAATGGTATTAATGCAGGTAATTGATCATTAAAATACTTCATGCCACCTTCTGCCATAGCACCTAATGCTAAAATTGTGGCTTCCCGGACATACCATTCTTCGGAGGTAAGGTGTTCTCTTAAGAAAGGGAAAGCAATTTCTATAACATCTCTTGGTAAAACGTTTGTCATAGAATCCAATGTAGCTGCAGAGCATTTTCTTAATGTCCAGCCAGAATCTACTTGTCCGTCACCATCATCGTCATCATCTTCCTCTTCGTCATCACTAGTATCAGCCTGGGTACCATTTTTGCCTTTTTTGACTATACGAGGAGCCATAGGTCTGATGTCTTCATCTTTATCCTCAACCAAGGCATCAGCTTCATTGTGTGTTTCAAATATGGTAATTGAATCTTTATCGTACACCATCTTAGCAAGTAAGACAGGTGCCAGTTCTCCTACAAACGGTTGTAGTATATGCTTGGGAATATGGGCACCTGTCACAAATGTGTGTAAGAATTCACATGCCTCAACTGCCACCTGTTCGTTTGTAGCATTACCAATCACATGTAACATGAATTGGACAATTCCTGCTAAATGGTCAATTAGTTTATCCGGCCTGGTTTCCAATAATAAAGTAAAACTAATACAAATCTGGGTTGTAATAGGTTCATGGCTCTCAGTTTGTGCCAAATGAAACAATTTATTCAGGAATTCATCTATCTTAACAATAAAATACTGAGATTGTAACTTTATAATAAAATTTATGGATTTAATACATTCTGCACGCACCTGGAAGGGTAATTGTGGTGCATCTATCATTAATAAAAATTGTATAACCAAAATCTCGATTGGCTGCCCGGATTGGGTTTGATTATTAGTCCAATCTAATTGAAATAAGGTAGCGTTATCTTCTACAACTTTGGATAAAGCTTTTGCTGCATCGACACTGCCACGTGCTGATAACTCCAATAACTGAGTTAACATATTCCAACCTGTAGGATCATCCCTATGTTGCCTGTAATAACTGGAAAATAATGCGGTAACTACGATACCTGTTACATTTCCGACAAGTGCATTAGATCCATTCTCTAATCCTTTCACAATATTACTCTTCACATACTCGATATTCTTTGTTGCAATATTTGAAGGGTCCATAAGGGAATTCTTCAATAACATACCGGCTGTAGCTCTACAATTAGCTAAATCGACCTGAGAAAATCGCTGCAACAGCGTTGTATCAGTTTCACCTTCGATTAGAATGTAACATAGGTAATTAAAAAACTCCGGCTGCGATTCAAATACCTTCAATGAATCCATTGCGTTATTTCTTACATCGTGCTCCGGTGACATACAGTTCCCTAGCAGAGTCGCTAACTCTACCAGTGACGAAGCTTCCGCGATCCATCCTTGGTTAGACATATCTTAAGTCCTGATGTCCTCTGTTGGTTGATAAGAATGATTGTTTCTTGAAAGTTTGTTGTCTTTAAAGCTGGGTCTTTCTATATTAACTCTGAAAATTTTTCAAATTTTGACGATGCGTACACGTGATCTGTACAATTTTATATTGTATATTTAATGAAGTTAATGAATTTTATATATGATAAATGACTAGCTATATGAGTTATGGGGTGAACTATGACTGTGGTTGCAGTAATAAATCAAGATGATGCAACATGCTGTCGATCTGGGTGAAAAACGGATCATAAATGCGGGCAATTGCAGGATGTGGAGAACCATCTTCAGTGGAAGGAATCATTGAAAACTCCTCTTGAGATGTTACTGGAGATAGTTCTTGAGATGTTACAATATTTGAAATGGAATGAATAGCATGAGATTGTGGTAAAGGTCGTAATGGTGACTCTGTCATTGTATGGTCCTGCGGAGAATCGTTCGTTTGGTCTGAGGATGAGGATGGTGAAAATTCTCCTATGGAGGATATAGAATTTTCTGAACGTGAGGTACGTAATTTACCCTGTTTGAACGGTACCACCGGTGCTTCAAATACCTTTGTAATATCATCTTCTTCGTTTTCATTATCGTTGGTTTCACCTGCATGTTGCGTACTGGTGATAACAGTAGGGTTCAACAATCCCTCGATATCATCCTGTAATGTTTTTTCATCATCGATATCCTGTTGTTTTCTTGTTTTCTTGTATACTAAAGGTTGCGTGTAACCGGTAGTGAATGACACATCACTAACGGTATCACTTGTTTCATCATTAAACCGTGTTGCTTCATTACCAAAAGTATCCTCCTGTTGAGGCTCTTCATCGCTGTCTACATAACGATCGGCGTAACTGACAATATCGTTGAACGACACAGACTTGCTACTTTTGTTGTAATCTTCCAAATGAAGTTTATTTTTTTCATCGAGCCGTGATGATGACGACAGATTCTCATTCTTCCAACAGTTCAGTCTTGCTAATCTCTCAGGAAATGTCTCTAGAATCTCAGCTGGGGCAAACCCGATTCTGTTATCATGGCATCGCTTAACTAGCCACCAATAAGAATCTTGATCGTTCAATAAAATGCAGGCTTCATCCTGCTCTAAAGGACAATGTGAAGTATCTGGACCGTTAAATGCATACAGTGCGTACAACTTATCTGGGTCTAGTTCTTGGGGTGGCGCTAAAGGTTGAAATTCTTCATCGTCATTGTCGTCATCAGCAATATCCTCTGTATCATCAACATCGTCAGAATCGTTGCCATTATTCTCCTCATGAACTTTTTCTTCATGATCTTCTTCTTCCTCTTCCTCTTCCTCTTCTTCTTCCTCATCATCATCATCATCTGAAAACTCCAATGAGGGTCCCTCTTGCTGTAGTTTACTTCTCAACTCTGTTCGTGCCTCATTCAACGAGACATCAGTAGATGATCCGGTACCACCACGTAACTCCATCATTCTTTGCTCTAGATTGTCCTCAAATTCACTATCTGAATAATCCATATCGTGTGGTGGCTCTTCAGGTGCGATCATGTTGGTGTTTGCAGTTACCACCACACTTCCACTCTCCTCTGACTTTGTAACAGGTCTCACAACATCACTAAAATCCTCCACTAACATTGGATCGTGCAGGATCTGTCTCTTCTCACTTGACAGAGCAGCAATGCTCGTTGCTTCACTCATGTTTGGTCCCTTTTCCCTTACCCTCTTTGTTGTTTTGCATCTAAATATTCATTTATTTCATTATATAATTTATTTAATACCATCGCGAATTTTATAAAAATTTTTCACTCTCAACGAATCAGCCAATCTTAATTTCGATCTCACCCTTTATCACAGGAGTGAAAACACAAACGAAAAAAAAGGTTACTACTTGTAATGAGTATGCCAACGGTATGTCTGTGTTGATGGTGGTATACCTTTGCGGTTTGTTGTCTGTTGATCAAGCTCAAGGGCTTGCTTCTCCAAGATTTTTTCGATGTTGCGCAATTCTTGTTCATAATCGAGTAAGTTACGCTCAAACTTTTCTAATTGTAAAGCCTTACGTGATGTTCGTACCTGGATATCCTGTAACAACTCGAATATCGATGCTCTCTCTGTTAAGTCCGTTCGGATCATACTCTTTACGATACTGGCTAGACCGGCTGAATAGTAGTCCGGTAACTCGCTATCGACTTTACCCATTTTGATCTTATTTTGTAATTCAACGTAATTCTTAGCTTGAAAGGGTGGGCGTAATGTACACATCTCGTATACAATACAACCTAGAGACCACACATCACTAAGTGGAGAGTATGGTTGGTCCATTAATACCTCAGGCGACATGTAGTAAGGTGTTCCGACGTAAGTAGTAGCAAACTGTGTTGAGTTCCCAAGTGCCTTAGCAAGTCCAAAATCACCCAATTTTACAGTTCCAACAGATGTACTATTACCACTGCTGGTCAAGAACACATTCCCCGGTTTTAAATCTCTGTGGATTACTACATTACGAGGGTGATTACTAGGCGGACGCATCCGATCATAGATAGTAACTAATTGGGTAGGATCTTCTCCATAGTGACAACGATACAATGCCATCAATAACTGTGCTAAAATAGCCCAAATGGTTTGTTCAGGCATATATTTATGTTCTTCTTTGTAGTGAGCAATTAGTTTCTGTAAATCTCCTTTCGAACAGTACTCCATATATAGGTACAATACCTGTCCCTGCTCATCAAAATCCCACGAGTGAAACTTAACAATATTCTCATGGTTTAATTGCGAAAGGATTCGACATTCAGCAATCAACTGTTGTCTTTCCTTCTGGTTCATGTGGCCATACTTGATCTCTTTACGAACCATCAATGTCTTGGTGGGTAAGTGTACCACCTTTCGCACCGACCCAAACGACCCACGACCGATCTCTTCCAATAATTCATACTCGCCATCGTGGTCCTGTCTCCGTTGCATACTCCGAAGTTAGTTCGTTTCACACTTCTATCTAGTAGTTCTTGATTTTCTTAATAAGTTTAATTGAACCTTTTTGTATATCTTGCAGAATTTTTACTTGTTTGTTTTCTTTTGTTTATTTTTTTCTCATTTTGGAATTAATGCGATGAGCTTCAAAATTCGTAGATTTATTATGAGGACGTAGAGATTAATGATCGCAGGTCGTTACAAAGCTGGATAAGCAATACCGAGTCACCTCCGACTTGTCTTGTGTGGGTATTTGTTCCATGAGCTTTCCAGTTATGATCTAGAAATTCTACCACGCGTACTAAAACTTTATGGACTTCAGGATCTGAGTGGTTTCCATGTAGGAAAAGAACTTTCAATAGCTTTAATAAGTCCAGTTGAATAAGGACACTACTCTCATATGTCTCAAAAAACACTTGGATACGGTTTAAAAATGACCCCTGACATAGGATATCTTTGCAAAACGTGTTATAAGGATGGAGTGAGCACAATTTTGTGTATCTATTCACAAACGCACTGAAATCTATATCTTCTGGATCAAATTCATAGAATACGCGTTCCAAAATTCCACTTGTCTTGAGTAAAAGTGCCATATCTTTGCGTGTAGAGCCTTTTAGTAATCCATTTTTCTGCCAGATGTTTAAAATAATCTCTATACCTAATGAACTGAACTTATTTAACTTCATAAATGATACTACAATTTGGAAGAAAAGAGCTTCGTGATTCAGTTTATCAGGTAACAACTTCTTGCGTGATATTTCCACAAGTAACATCAGCCATTGCTTCAATACTGAGCTTAATGATTTTCTTGTTGCTTGGTTATGACTTGATTTATATTGCTCCAATAATGAATTTAATAACTGAAAAAATAATGGACTAGAGTATAGCATACTGAGGAACCCAGGATCCAAGTGTGACGCAGTGTAACAAACTTTTGTAAAATACTTCCAAACATGAACGTTGGAAACTTTTATCAAGGTATTTTCGTGTCCTAGAAGACCCAACAACCATTTTTGTGTTTTAACAGATAAGGCTAAAGCGGATATTGAGTCATTGATACTTGAATTTCTTAATTCGTGAGTTTGTAGAGTTCTCAGATATTTCTGTTTTATCGGAGAGCCACCATTACTGCTAGATGGGGCAGATGGTATCATATTTCCACTAGGGGTTCGTCCAACTGAATGGATTGGTATATTAGAATCTTCAGGCCCCAGTTCATCACTATAGGGTGTCTGTAACATCAAGGTCATGGATTTCAAAACTATATACATGCAGTGTAAGTTTAATGAATCCAGTCTGGGATATTTATTAATAATCTTTGGCAATATAGTCTGTAGTGTCCAGTGAGAATATTCTACATCGATACGATTATCCAATGATGATAATTTAATTAGAATTGATTGGGCCCTTTTGTCTCCCAATAATTGATTTACCAACAGTGTCACATCTAAGTTAGCGGCGCACCAATTATACCAAAATTTGATTGATGTTACATCAAGATACTGATACACAAGTTCTAGATATACTCGTGGATTGGAGGAATAACTTGAGATATGATTCATTATCCCACATTGAAACATAAATTGGTACCCATATAGCGAGTTGGACGTTTCCATCAAAAAACATGTAGATATTAATCGTTCATTTCCAAAAGCTCTGTTCAGTCCACCGTAATTGATGAACTGATTTTTAACTTTGGACTCATTTAATTTAGCATCATGTTCCAGTAATTGGATCACTATGTCTGTTTTGTCGTTTATTATGCATTCATCACTCAGCAAAAGAAATAAACATTCGACAATATCACTTGTCTTGCAGTCGTTAAATATCAGTGGTAATTTCTCTTTCGTCGACATTGCACCTGATCGTATCTTCTCTAAATAATAATATCCATTGACCGGAAGTTCATTTTCTAATTCATTTATGTCTTTGTTGAGTTCATCAGATATATCACTATCCCCTGACAGATACCTTCCTAGTTTTACAGGTGGCTTTGCCGGCGATCTATGGAGTTGTATAGCACCTGGTCTCGCAGGTGATGATGTCCTAGATGTATAGAGATCGCTATTAGAAGCCCTCTTTGCCACAAAATTCGTTAAACTGTCCCTTGGGATTTCTGTAGGTTCTGTAAAATCAGCATCCCAATCTTGATCCATATCTGTATCAACTTCTTGAAACTTTGATAATTTGCTTTCCCTAGTGAGCTTTGGAGCTGTCTCCCTTATGTCGCGTAACCATGGATGCTTTAGTAGCTGTACAGCTGTTGGTCTTCTATACATTGATTTGTGGAAGCACTGCTTCAGGAAATGTTTGCACTTATCTGGCAGTGAGTCAGGAGGATAATATTTATCATTTTCTATAGCATAGTATATGTTAATATCGATCAGATTATGGAATGGAGGATTACCTGTCATCAATTCAACTACAGTAGCCCCTAGTGACCATATATCACTCAAAGTTGAAGCACCTTTGTTCGTGATTATTTCAGGTGCCATCCAATTTAATGAACCAGCCAATGTCATCGCCGTATTGTTTACCATTGTAGAAACCCCAAAATCAGCTAATTTTACAATATTGTTGGCGTCCAAGAGGAGGTTTGCAGCCTTAATGTCTCGGTGTATTACCCCTTGCTCATGCAGATACGCCAAACCATGTAACGTCTGTTTAATGTATATAGTTGTCTCGTTCTCTTCTAATCGCTTAGTAGGTCTCTTCGCAAATAAATTCTTTAAGGAGCCATGGGATGCATACTCAAGTATAATGTAAAGGTTTGATGATTTTTGGATAAATCCATGGTATTTAACAATATTGATGTGGTTCAGATTTTTCAATAAATCGATTTCGATCATTATTTCACTTAACTCCTCATCATTATCGTAATTAATCTCCTTAATGGCCACAGTCTGTTTACTTTTTTTATTCACAGCTCTATATACAACCCCGTATGATCCTTTACCAACTACTTGTTTTAATTGGTATTGAACAGACGGTGATGATGATGGTAACGCCTCATTAGTTTTCGAAGCGTTCATCTCGTGGGTCTGGCGATGTCCCTTTGGGCACTCCGAAGAATCAACCTCTTCACTTTGTTTAATTTCAGTCTTAGACATCTGCAACTATGATGTTAAGGGTATTCCTTCTTTTAACCAACGATCTTTTTAACTGTTGGTGTTCTTTTATTGATGAGCGGAACTAGCTTCATTGTTTATTATTGCTATATTTAAAGCAATTTTGATTTTGAAAAACTCTTATTTTCACATCCACTATTAAAGAACACTGAAAATGCTAAACGAAGAAAGATCAAAGCAAATAGTATTGAACTTGAAGCTGGCATTCGTTGAGTTATCTGAATCACATTGGCAAAAATACTTCTATTACACTACATTTTCAAGAAATATTTATTTCTAAGAACTTCCAATTCGATTAGAATAAACGAAATCAGAAAGGAAAAGAATGGTTGAGAACGTAGCTACAACGGGGAAGACTGAATCTAAAATAGTCAGTAAACCTCTATTGAAGTTAAAGTTGTTGGATGTCTTGAGGAAGGGTAGTTACGAAGAGTTATTACAACTTGTAAAGGCTCAATTTGTTCCTGTAGACGATACTAATGTCATTCAAGTAACTAGGTTGATCTTACATTACGCAATTCAAGTAGCGCCATTCTTATTGATTAAGGAGATTATTACTAAGAATGTTGATCCCTCATTGGATGTTGTTCCGGCAGAGAAACTTTCATTGCGTATTGATATAAACGAACAAGATAATAATGGAAACACGCCATTACACTTGGCTGCGTATCAATCGAGAACTGATGTCGTATCTCTCTTGATGGATCAACCATCTATTAATGACTGTATTACAAATGATATTAACCTACAACCCTTTGAGTTATGCAGAAATATCAATGTGGCACAATTAATGCAATATAAGAGATCTCAATATATAGCAGATATTGCGACAGAATTCAGAACCGCATTCAATAATAGAGATTTCCAACACTTAGAATCAATTTTGAATAACCAGAGAAATTTCCAATTATTAGACATAAACGGCATGGATCCTCAAACAGGTGATACAGTCTTACATGAATTTGTGAAGAAAAGGGATGTTATGATGTGTAGATGGTTACTTGAACACGGAGCTGATCCATTTAAGAGGGATTCTAAAGGTAGGTTGCCAATTGATTTAGTAAAAAACGCTGCAAGCAGTTCTGCAGTGACAACATCGACAACAGATACAACCTCAGAGGCATTAACTGGTTCAGGAGCTGCTGGAGCTGCTGATGTATCTAATGTAACAACACAGTTAGCCATAGATATGGAATTGAAAAAGATGTTAGACAAGTCTGCAACTGAACAATCCGTCATTAATATTGATAATTCAAACCATAAACCTGAGAAGCTGGTCAACAACAGATTAACCGCAGCACCAACTTTCAAAGGTTACTTAAAAAAATGGACTAACTTTGCACAAGGTTACAAGTTACGTTATTTTATTTTAAGTGGTGATGGTAAATTATCGTATTATATTGATCAAGATGATACTCAAAATGTGTGTCGTGGTTCTCTGTATGTCTCTAATTGTTATATACATTTGGATTCCTCAGAAAAATTGAAGTTCGAAATAATAGGTGGTGGAACAAACGAAACTATTAGATGGCACTTGAAAGGTAATCATCCAATTGAGACAAATAGGTGGGTTTGGGCTATCCAAGGTGCAATTAGATATGCAAAGGATAGAAATAAGGGCTTAGTGCCACCTCCAGCTGTACCTAAATTCAACCAAAGAGGTGAAGAAGCAATGAATCTACCAATGAAACTTTCAGTTAATGACCATATCAGTATTTCAGCCGATGATATGAATGATTTGGCATCAATCAAAACCGGAAAAACTGATATTTCTTCGAATGCTGCCAAATTTGACAAAGAGTCACAAGTTGCATCTACGTTAACTTCACCTACAGGAGAAGACTTAAATGATTTGCCATCATCTGAAACGAAACTCAATAATAAGAACTTTGAGGATGAGGTTGAAATTGATGAGGATGAAGAAGAAGAAGACGAAGATGAAAACAACAGGATGTATGATATCGCAACTAACAATGGTGTTGATGTCCAGTTAACCTACGGTCCGTACTCTCAAAAATTGCATTTCCTAAAGAGATCTATTGCTATTGAACTATCATCTTTGGGGGAATTATTAGGCGATCCATCATTAAGAGAAAATCATGACTCTACAGAGGAAGTTGGTGAAATTATTGAAACAGTTAACAAGTCGATTTACACCATGAACAATAATTTCGATAAGTTGAATGATCTCACCGAAAAGAGAGACAAGAGACTGATTAATATGTTAAGAAAACAATACGATGTTAATAATGTGTGGATGCAATCGATGAAGGAATTAGAGTTAGAGTTGATTGAGAAAGATACAAAGTTACATGGGCTAGAGGATGAAAGAAAACAACTACGTAAAGTCCTGGAACAAGCTACTACCAGTGGGGGGATTCAAATTGACAAGGGAAATCTGGATAAAGATGATAACGCCAGGAGTCCAATCAATAAAGATGATAACGCCATGCAACAATTAGTTGAATTGATCAACCACAGGGATGATGATGTCACTGCGGATGATTCTGATGTAGACGAATTCTTCGATGCTGAAGAGATGGAGTCTGCTAACGAAGTGGAACCTGAGCTAGAGCGGACAGATGATGGTTCCGCAAAACAGCTTGAACAACCTGAGACTGAGATAGAGAGTGGTACAGCCATGGAAATACACGACTATACTAAGGCTCTCCCTGTAATAACTACCGCCCAAACAGAAAAGAAAGACAGAATAAATGGTGACAGATCATTCAATGGTTATGAAAATGGACCAAGAACACGCGTCAAACTAGACTCAGACAACCGACCATCTGTTAGTTTATGGGGGGTTCTAAAATCTATGGTAGGTAAGGATCTAACGAAAATTGCTTTACCTGTATCTTTTAACGAGCCGTCATCGATGTTACAGAGAGTTTCTGAGGATTATGAATACGGTTACTTATTAACTCATGCATCAACTCTTGCAGACTCCACGTTAAGAATGTTGTATGTCGCTGTATTCACTGCGGCACCATACGCATCCACGATCAATCGTGTGGCTAAGCCGTTTAATCCATTATTGGGTGAAACGTTTGAGTTTACAGACAAAACTCAAGAATTCCGTTTTGTCACTGAACAAGTATCGCATCATCCACCCATTTGTGCTACGATGGGGGAATCACCTCGTTGGGATTTCTACGGTGAATCTCATGTCGATTCAAAATTTAATGGACGTTCGTTCAACATAAAACATTTGGGGAAATGGTTTGTTCATATGAGACCGGATGATAAAGATTCTCCAGATGAAGAAGTGTATAGTTTTATGAAACCAGACAACTCTGTCATTGGTATTCTTGTCGGTAAACCCGAAGTTGATAATGTTGGTTCGGCAAGAATTGATAACCACACTACCGGAGACTACTGTATGTTGTATTACAAAGCTCGTGGATGGACCATGGCTGGTGCCTATGAAGTCCGTGGTGAAATATTTGATAAGGATGGCAAAAAGCGTTGGGTCCTTGGTGGTCATTGGAACGATTCTATCTACGCAAAGAAATGTGTATCCTCTAATGAAAGTGATACATCATCTACTGAATTCCCATTAGATACAACGGCTGTAGGAACTAATGGAACCAATGAACCGCGCTATGATGGCTCAAAGTTCCTTGTCTGGAAGGCCAACAAAAGACAATCGGGAGTCCCATTCAATTTGACTCGATACGCAATTCAACTGAACGATGACAATGAGAGATTACTACAATGGACAGCACCTACTGATTCCCGTCGCAGACCAGACCAACGTGCAATGGAAGAAGGTCGTTATGATGATGCTGCAGATGAGAAGTACAGACTTGAAGAGAAACAAAGAGCTGTTAGGAAACAACGAGAACAAGAGGACACCGAGCTGCCACTATGGACACCTAAATGGTTTACCAGGGATGTTCATCCAACTACCGGAGACTCATACTGGCATTTCACTGGTGAATACTGGAAGAATAGAGAAACTCATAGCTGGGAGGCCTGTGATGATATCTATTAGCTTCGATTTCTCCCTCTCTCTTCTCTATTATTTTTATTATTATTATTATTATTTAAGTATATTTACAGTTTTTCCGTGAATACTTTATTATATAAAACGCATAATACTAGCCGACCGCTAAGCGAATGTTCATATAAGACTCGAAATTTTTCAATGGCCTGACTATCCCGAAAGGTGATGCAATGCAATCTTTGAGCTATAAAAGAAGAGACAATAGCTATATGCAATAATCCTCGTCGGAAATGTTCATAAATAGGTGACAATAAAATAGCATTGACGATGCCTTATTCAACTATCACTATAAATACCCCACCTCCTTATTTGACACTGAGCAGTTCAGAGCACTTGCCAACTGTGCTAACTGTTGCTGGTAGTGATTCCAGTGGTGGTGCTGGTATCGAGGCTGATATCAAGACAATTACCGCTCATAGATGCTACGCCCAGACATGTATCACAGCATTGACTGTCCAGACTCCTGTGTCTGTGTTCGATGTTCAATTGACCCCGAAGAAGATCGTCAGTGGGATTCTTGAAGCTAATCTTAGAGATATGAAATGTGACGTTATCAAGACTGGAATGCTTACAATGGATGCTATTGCTGCGCTAAATGATAGAATAACTGCTATACCTGTCTCAGAAAGACCTTTATTGGTTGTCGATCCAGTCCTGGTAGCCACATCGGGATCTCCATTAGCCGGTGATGAGCTAGTTGCTGAGATCAAAGAAAAAATTACCCCCTTTGCAACTATTTTGACACCAAACATTCCAGAGTCATTTAAATTGATTGGTGAAGAACGTGCCATTGACTCATTAGATACATTATACAAACTTGCTATGGATGTTAGAGAAGCTTGTAACTGTTCTAACGTCTTGATAAAAGGTGGCCATATTCCTTGGAGTGGACAACTTGAAGGAGATAATCAACGTTATATTACAGACGTATTACTACTTGGTGATTCTGATAAATTCATCGTTTATAAAGGCCATTATTCTGAGACAACACATACACATGGCACCGGTTGCACCTTAGGGTCTGCCATTGCATCAAATTTAGCCCGTGGCTATTCATTGGCCCAAGCTGTCTATGGGGGTATTGAATATGTCCAGAATGCAGTTTCTGTAGGTTGCGAAGTCACTAAAGATTCGGTTAAAGAAAATGGTCCAATCAACCATGTCTATGCTGTTGAGATTCCATTAGAAAAAATGCTAACAGACGAATGTTTCAGTGCCACAGAAGTCATTCCACCCAAACCAAATAGTGTGATTCCGAAGGAAATGCCATTGATGAAAAAAAGTTTCTCTCAATATTTACAAAACCATCCAAAAGTTAAACCGCATTGGGATTCTTATATTAAACACGATTTTGTTAGACAGATTGCCGATGGGACATTAGCCAAGGAAAAATTTCAATATTTTGTTGAACAAGATTACTCCTATTTGGTCGATTATGGTAGAGTTCATTGTATTGTTGCTTCGAAGATCCCTACGTTGGATGATATGGAGAAGGAGTTGATGATGGTTGCTGGTGTTAGAACAGAAATGGATAACCACAAAAAGAGACTAAGGGAAGAATTTGGAGTCAAGGATGATTCATATTTTGAACAAATCACTAAGGGTCCTGCTTTGAAGGCATACTCACGATATTTTAACGATGTTGCCTTGAGAGGTAACTGGCAAGAGTTAATCGCCGCTTTGACTCCATGTCTGATGGGCTACGGTTATGCGTTGTATCATGTTGAAGATAATATTACTACTACTGATCCGGTATATTTGGATTGGCTTGCAGTTTATTCCTCTAAGGAATATCGTCACCACATTGCTGAAGGTGAAAGATTGATGCAACATGTATTACAGACATATCCATTAGAGAGCCTCGATACTCTGATAAATATATATGCGGATGTTTGTGAACTTGAGACGAAGTTTTGGGATGCAGCATTAAATTATACAAAAAACTAATAAAGTCGCATTTCAAATACATAGATACATAAGGTCAATTGTAATTTGTATTCAATAGTTTTTACATTAAACGATACTTTAATGAATAATGAGCGAGGTTCCTAACTGTTTATAACTGTCATCCTCTGTGTTGAAATATAAAATCTAATTTTCCAAGATTTTGATTAATTTTTATATTTTGTTCGTTTCGTTACCATTTTAAATTGAAAGTAATATACTTGTTCAAGTAAATAAAAAAATAAAAGTGATAAAAAACCAATCTTTCTAAAACGGATACCTTACAGTTTTTTTTATTATACCACCTTTCTCTTCTATGAGAAATCCTTTCTCTAGGTTTCTATTACAATACAAAGCCTGATGCTACCCCTAGTCCAAAACATATACACCAATTCTAGGGTTCCTTACTGCCTTTCTTTGTACTCAACAGGCTAAAAAATTGCTCAAAAGTTTCTCAACCTCCAGAGCCATAGAAAAGGAGCACCTTCAAAAATTATACACTCTATGTCTCGTAGTATATATGGCAGTACGATCACTTAGCAACTATACCAGTTACTTCACCAAATGAGGGCTCTAATTCATAAGAAGCTTAGAATATTTTGCAAGTGTTATTAACAAAATTATATATTAAATCTCAATCTACAACACATCTCTGTGTCTTTCGTGTTGAAAAACATAGTTCAAGTATATAAGCATTTACATAGACGTCGAGAATTTTTTTCATTAATCATTTCTATCACAGGTCATAAATAAAAAGAGGGAGAAGACAATTGGGGTGGATATTAATCTTTTATGGGTTCTTCTCAAACCCTTCCTTACGGACTTTGGCAGCATTAATCTTCGCAGATTCTGGGTCCAAATAAAAACTCTTGATAAAACTCAGGTCATTTTTGTCGAATTCAATGACCAAAGGAATACCATTAGGTATATCGACGTTCTTGATTTCTTGGTCGGTAATATCCTCAATAATTTTTAATAAGGATCTCACCGAAGAACCATGACCTACAATAATACATGAATCCAATTTGTATTTCTTGGCGATTCTCAACACAACACCATCCAAGAATGGTCTAATTCTAGTTACAACTTCAGCCAAGGATTCGCTAATTGGTAACGTTTCTCCTGCTGCATCCTCAGTAGCATACTTAACTGTTCTATTAGGCTCCTTAAACTCATAACCTGTTGCAGCTCCTTTTTCATTAGGCTGAACCATCTCCAATGATAAATCAACTAAAGGTGGTTTCCCTTGATAATCTCTTCTAATACGCATATATTCCTCATCACCAACATCCTTCAGTACATTTGGCTTTCTCTGACCTTGCCAAGCACCATAATGACGTTCATTAAGTCTCCAAGTTTGTAATACTGGTAATTGACCTTTAACCAAGAGCTCATCTGGCAATTCAATTTTCTTTAAAGCGTGAACGTCACCACTAATCACAGAGAAATCACCCTTCAAGGCCAATTCTTCCATTATCACTTCCATAGTTTGCTGTGTACGTACTAAACGGGACGTATACCCCACCTGCGGTAGTGGTTCATCATTATTATCACAATACTGCTTGATCAATTGGGCAGAATTACGTGCCTGCTGCTTTCCTTTATCGGTTAGTCTTGCATCAATCCACCCACAGAAGATGTTTTCATGATTCAGTTCGCTTTGCCCATGTCTCAGAACAAATATCTTAAAGGTGTCTTGTTGTGAAGCCATATTTTCTATATGTTTCTTTTGTCACTTTAATCCTTTTGTTGTGGCTCCCCCTGCTGCAAGTTTTATTTTGAATCTCTCTCTCCCTTCTTATATAATCAGATTATCTATTTTGGGGTAAAATTTTTCAGATACTCGTATGACTAGTCACCGAAGAAACTACCGCACGAAACATAACATGAGAGAATATAGAGATTTCGAATATAATTAGGAAAGCAATATAGTAGTCATGCACTTGTCAATTATATAAAATCGTTGCAATGAGAAAATAAAAGAAGTATTAAAATGTAAATAAGCTGTATATGTTTGCAATCTCCAGCAAAATTAGGCTTGACGTTCTAGGAAGGATTGGATCAACCCCATTGGCGTCTCTGGGTACTCATGGACTGTGATGGTGTTTGTATCAATGTTCAGAGTAGTGTTAGCCTGGATAAATTGACGACGAGGTAATCTCTTAGCTATTACAATATCTCTCAAGGCTGCAAGTTCTTGTGGTACGGTGGATCTATCAATATAGAATTCAGAACCACGTTTGACGTCGGCAGAACATTTGTAAACATGTAAATGTAACAAGTAGTCACGCACACAGTCAAGACCTTCTTTTTCAATCACAGATCTATCTAGATTGATTTTAAGATCGTCTTCGCCTACTTTCTCAATAGTTAAAAATTTGTTATTACTACAATGCATTAAGAATGTTTTCATGATAGAAAATCTAGCTTGCATATGTGGCTGACCCCATTTTCCCGTCTTTGGGTCCCAAAACTCCAAAGCCATTAAACCGGCTCTAGCCATTTGTAAATAGCCAGCGTAGATAACATTATCTTGGTCCTCTTTGGTCTTAAATCCAAATATATCCAACAACTTACGGTTTGTAATTAAAAACATTGCAACGACCTCTGCACGAGTCTCTTCAAAGGCACCAGCGAGGGAACCAAATACGGATCCCCAAGTTTCACCTTGTTTGTAGAATGTAGTTACAGGTTCGCCATCCAATCCCAAAGGTGGGTTCGTGTGATCAAAATTGAATTCGTCAGGTCCTGTTTGTAATAAAAGTTTTCCTGACCCATGGCCTAATAATTCATGGATCCCAACCTGAACTTCAAAGGAATCTGATTGATATTTTTGAAACAAATCCAAATCATCCTTTTTAATGAAAGATGGTGGATGACTAGAAGAACTCTTGGCCGATGCACTTAGGATATTTCCAAGTGAAACATTCTTAAACCCAATGGTCAGTCTAACATCATCATAATTTGGAATATTGATCCCCGCTGGGATACCTGATCCTGTGAAGGTCAAGACTTCTATTGATGTAAAATCAGGAGGATTAAACTTCTCTTTCTCAAATGAACGATCCCAAGGTAATAGTGCAATAAATTCTTGAGCATTTTGTACCATATTAGAGAATTTAGCTGTTCTCTCTTTGTTTTGTACTGCAACTAATGATTCGAACTCACCAATGATCCCGGAAGGTTCCCTATAGGTTTCGATAAACCCAATATTAGTCTCCACAATTGGTGATATATCCTTGACCCATAACTTTTGGGCCTCTTTATGTTCGGAACCAGACCCAGTCTTAAAATGAGCAATATAATGATCTAACATATTTGCTTGGGTCTCATTAGCAGCGTATTGTTTTGCAGAAGTCAAATTTTGGCAAATATTTTCCATTTCTTGAGAATGATCTCCAAATTTGAAAGTCACTTGGGTTTGATGAGGATCATTTAAAGTAATCATACCATGAGGATATTCAGATACTGGTAATTTGTTGGTAAGAGTCTCTGAGGCTACCAAGACTTCAAATCTATGGGAAGCTAATTTTCTAATACGAGTATTTTCAGGTAAGATTTTATATTTGGCAAATAATTCTTGTTTCAATAATTTCATATCATCCAACGAGATAGAATCTCCAAGATAATAAGAAGAAACGTGTCCTTCTGATGGAAACCCTAACAATGCAATATCTTCATTAACTCTATACATCCCATCCTTAATCAATTCACGAACTGTCAATTGATAATTAGTTTTACAAAATTGATTAATTGATCCATCAATATCCATACCAGCAAGCTTACATAGTTCAAAAATATAATCAATCGAACATGCTGGTATAAATTTTGAATCACCAAAGGATTTATAATTACCTAAATTAGCTAAGAATTGAGACACGTAATCCAAATACAATTGAGATTCACCTGGATATACACCATTAACACCACGATGTAACGTTAAAAGTAAATCATAAATAGGTTCGCTCTCTTGAGAAACTTGTCTTAATACGATTCTTGTCCCCGCATGGGATGCATTAGCCATAAAATGAGCATATTTTTGCTCCTTTGGAGTCAAAGTTGGGAAATACGTATCCGCAAGGGATAGCATTGTAATTGGAGCCTCGTGATCAGCCTCGTACATCGTGTCAATGTTCTTCATTGTTGTTCCTGTTATTAATTGCTTTCGAGTAATATTTTGCCACTGTCCCTTTTTATCTCGAGTTCCCTTTATTTTATTTTATTTCATTTATAGCGGCGATGCCAGAAAAAAACAAAATAGAAAGCCAAATATATATATTTATATACATACATTTTAAACTTACAATTAATGGTGATGATAATGATGAAATGATATTATGATTATTGAATTAGATATACACGTTTAATTTTATATTTGAGAAAGAAAGAAAAGATACATATTCAAATAAATGTATTAAAAGACATACATTTATAAAGTTAGTGTTTCACCACGAGCCTTCTTAGCTTCACCGTATTTCTTAACTCTAATAGCTTGAATAGCAATGAAACCAGTAGTATCAGTTGGTTCAAAACCTGTTAGTTCATCCATTGATGATTCAGTAGCATCATACAGTTTTTCAGTGTTAGAGTATCTACCTAGAACAAATACATTACCTTTGTATAAAGATAATCTAACTGAACCATTAACATGTTCTTGAGATGGAGCAATCATTGATCTAATATATTCACATTCTGGAGTGAAATAAGAACCATTATAAAGTAATCTAGAATAATTTGGTGTAACAAAAGAATCTCTTAATTGACGAACTTCTTTATCTAAGACAAGACCTTCTAAATCAACATGAGCACGTCTTAAGACAGTTAAAGGAGCTTGTTCATAACAACCTCTAGATTTCAAATTAATGTAACGATCTTCAACGATATCGATTCTACCAACACCATTAGCTCTTGCTAAAGAAGAAACTTCTAAAAAGATATCTAATGGAGCAGTAACAGATTTACCATTATAAGATAATTTAACAGGTAAACCCTTTTCAAAATCTAATTGTAATTCTTGTGGTTTATTTGGAGCATCTTCTGGATCAACAATCAATTTCCACATATCCTTTGGTGGAGTAGTGTTTGGATCTTCAAGAATACCAGCTTCATAAGAGATATGAGCTTGGTTTTCATCAGTTGACCAAGGCTTAGATTTAGTTTGTGCAACTGGAATACCCTTTTCAGCAGCATAATCTAAAAGATCCTTTCTACCTGCAAATCTTTCGAAAAATTCTGGTAATCTCCATGGAGCAATGACTTTAACATCTGGTTTTAAAGCGTAAAAACCTAATTCAAATCTAATTTGATCATTACCTTTACCAGTACAACCATGAGCAACAGCAAAACAACCTTCTTGTTCAGCAACTTGGATTTGAGCCTTAGCAATAACTGGTCTAGCTAAAGAAGTACCTAATAGATAAACATCTTCATAGACAGCATTAACTTGAACAGCTGGGAATAAAATATCTTTAACGAATTCTTCACGACAATCGACAGAGACAAATTTAGTAGCACCAATTTTTAGAGCTTTTTCTTCAGCGGCTTTAAAATCTTCTTCTTGACCGACATTAGCAAGGAATGCAATAACTTCATAACCTTGTTCTAATAACCAAGCTAGAATAATTGAGGTATCTAAACCACCAGAGTAAGCCAAACAAACTTTTCCTTTAGACATTTTATTTTAATTTAATTTAATTTATGTGATGTAATGCTATGTTATAATGCAATATAAAAATGTTAGCAATATATATGTATATTGATAATATTCGATGATGATGACTATTTGTATGTATCTGACTCAAGAATCCTTAAAAAATGTTATATAAAGAGAGAGAGAGAGAAAGAGTAATAAATAGAGAAAAGAGAAAATTGAAAAAACATTATTTAATCTGCTAACAACGGAGAGTATTTATACTTTTTCATGAGTGTTAAGTGACAAAAGAAGCGAGCAACATAAAAAGTGTGACCGTTAAGTGAAAGTGCTGGCGCGGCACAGAAGTTGAATTTTTTTTTAAAATTGAAAAAATCATGATACACAGACAGTATGTGGTGTATGGGTGAGTGACACATACAACAAGATAACGGAAGTATGCGGTGTCCGGGTGGTGCACACAAAGAGGTTGGCCTCTTTGGGATAACAAGAGAGTAAATTCGGGAGTGAGTCACCACGGAAGAAGCCGGAGGAGGAGGAAGACGAAGAAAGATGGGTATTGGGTGTGCGGCTAGTCACGTGGGATGCACGTGACTGGGACTGGGCACCTCGCTCAATCAAGGTGAAATAAAGTTACAAGCAGTATTGTTATCGTTCATTCATTCATGAAAATAATCACTTGAACTTCATTCAATGTAAAAAATATGAATTCAAATCCATTTGTAAACTAGTCAGTGGATTGATAAGAAGCAGTAATCAGTTAACATGTATTTAAAATATGAAATGTATTTCATATGAATCTTAATTGAATAGTTTCGTTAAACTTATGTTTATGCTATTGTGATAAAAAAAAATGTAGCTTATGTAATAATATACAGATATGTCTATGGATAAAAGAGAAAGAGAGATAAAAGAAAACTGGAGAATTGAAGGGGATAAAAAAAATAGTATTGCTGATCTTGATGCTTTTGTTCGTGATAATAAAATAATTGGAGTGAAAATGAAATAGAGAGAAGGATTGAAATCTTCTCCCTTTTTTTTTAGGTGATTATGATCTCACAGTTGTTGTATTTGTATTAGTAGCAGGAGGTTCTTCATCATCTTCTTCAACTTCAAATGGTTCCAATTCATCAATCATTTCTGGAATTTGATCCATTGGCATCTTATTGTAAACAATTTGAAAAACTGCTTCAAATAATGGGAAATCTTCTGTTAATTCACATGTAGCTAACCATTCATGAACTTCTTTACATGTAATAACACCTTGTGCAGATTGACCATTTAATAAAACTCTTTCAGCTTCAAATGCATCAACATGTTTTGTTGCCATATATTTAGCAACTTTAACATTTCTACCACCTGAACATGTTGTAATTAAATCTGCAACACCAGCAGATTCTTGATAATAAGTTTCAACACGAGATTCTGGGAAAAACATTTGACCAAACTTAATAATTTCACCAAGTCCAACTCTTTGAATAGCTGCTGCTGCATTATTACCCCAACCAAGACCTTCAACAAATCCACAAGCTAATGCAACAACATTTTTTAATGCACCTGCAATTGAAATACCTGCAACATCATCAATAACATTTACATGGAAATATGGTCTATGAAACAACATTTTCAATACTTTATGATCAACATCTAAACCTTCACCTTTAAAATCTTCAGGTAATTGATAAGCGACTGTAGTTTCTGACCAATGTTCTTTAGCAACTTCTGGTGCTAAATTTGCACCTGATAAAGCACCACATTGAATATCTAATTCATCTTTAATATATGATGATAATAATTGAACACCTTTTGCACCAACTTCAAAACCTTTTAAACATGAAATTGCACGTACATTTTTTGAAATGTGACCTTTTAATTGTGAAACAATTTTTGGTAAAAATTGATGTGGTACATTAAATACAAGAATATCAGCATCTTTAACAGAATCAAGTAAAGAGGGATTTGCAATTAAATTATGTGGTAAATCAATTCCAGGTAAATATTTAACATTTTGGTGTCTTGTATTAATTATTTCTGTTAATTTTTCACCATCAATATTTTCTTCAAATACCCACATATTCACATCTTTTGCAAAAAGATGTGGATTTTGTACAGTATTTTCAGCAACAACTTTTGCAATAGTTGTACCCCAATTACCAGAACCAATAACTGTTACATTAAATGGTTGACGATGCATATGAATTATTGATTGTGTAGATTCCACTCTTCTAAATGGATGTACATGTGGTGTAGTCATCTTAATATCTTTATTATAATTTTTTTTTAATCGCCTCCTTTGAATATAGGATTTATAATCAAATGAATAACACCGAGTTATGACTCTTTGACAAATTAGTCGTTTCTGTATCAAGAACATTTAAATAAAATAAAATTTAAGAAATAATAAAAAGAAAAAGAAGAAGAGATAATAACAATAATATATTATCTGAAAAAAATTAAAAAAAGAGATGAGATTGTTTTTTAAAAATTGTTAAAAGAAAACAACAACAGGTAAGAAAAAATAAAATTAAAAAAAAAAAGAAATCAATATTAATAATAATATTTTGCCTCCAAATTTCAATAAACTGTCTAATGATATTAGAAAAACTCCTTAATATTTCATACTTTCTATCAATCAATATATATATATAAAATGATGATGGTGATGATGATGATATTGCTCTTAATTTAGGAGAGAGGGGGGGGGCTAGGATGAGGAGGGAATTTCAGAAAACAAACAAACGAAATAGTGAGAGAAAGTATAATGAAGATTTCATATAAAATGTAGTTTCATTCTCCGCATACTCTCTCTACTTTACAGGACAATAACATTTTGAGAAAAACTAAAACAAAATGGTATATTGTTGCTAATTTAATGTCAGGTGAGAGAAAAACGTAGAGGTTCAAAAGATTTTATTGCACGTAACCATCTTCTTCTCATACTAAAAATTGTTCGTACCAATGCGTGACGACCGTTACTGAAATCTTTCCTTTTTCTAAATCGGATAACCACAAATATAAATACTTTCTACTGCTAAACAGAATAGAAACAGTAGAAAATATTTATTTTCTCAGAGGCTTTCTTTGTCTTCTGCATTTTCATTTTTGGTGTAAAAAGGGAGAAAAACCGGACCGAGAAAGAAAAAAAAGAAATCAAATGTTTAGGGTTTGTTTAGAAGCACTTCAAAAGTTAGGGCTTGTTTCCTTGTAGAAACGACATTTGCACGTGACTTGAAATTTCTCTTGATTATATACCCTTAAAATATGTCAGAACCCTTTAAAAAATGATTTAACAACTAAAAATCAACCAAATTTTAGTTCTTTCTAACCATTATAAAATACAATATTTATAGATGAATCTTTTTTAAAGAATAAATCTGTTCATCTTTTAATTAAAATATAGTTATATTCCTGAATAGAACAAAAGACCATCTTTGTAACTTAAAATATTTAGTTTATTCCTAATAGATCGTAACTCGATTGGAGAAAATATTAATTATATTACTCCCCACAAACACACACACACGCTCTCTCTTTCCCTTTATATATATTTTAAGTTACATGTTTTTGTTGAAAGAGATGGAATAGAAAGAAAGAAAGAGTATATATATACTTTTTTTTTTAATTTTTAATATTTTTTAAAAACTCGGCGGCTAAATATTCCCATATATATTTTTTTGTTTTTGTTTTTTTTTTGATACAAATAAATTACTATTTACTACCTATCCACCCCATTTCAAACAACAACTACTAAAATCGAAGAGATGAAACCTGAAAACGTTCTATATTACACTGTTTCTCATACTCTTCCACAACTTTGTTTGTCTTTGTTGTGTCAATATATAATATACTACCTGGTGTCACAATTAATTTACAAATTTTCAAGGGTACTACAAACTTTATTTGCTATTAATACAAGATTACCAGCAATAACCGCTTTATTAAGATGTATAGCTCAAGATTTGACTGATTGCTTAGTATATACTGTCGTCTATATGTTGCAATATAGTCCACCAACAAGAAGAACTCTTTATTCTTTAATGTTTAACGCTATGTATTATTCAACTCATTAGATATTCTCTTTAATAAAAACATAAATTATTCTCCAATTATCTCTCTCTCTCTATATTTATATATATCTGTATGTGCTACTCTGCCCATTCCCTGACTCTCTCTCCCCCCAACGATCCTAATATGTGATATAGAGGAAAGTCCGTTTCCAATTTTAGTCCATCTTTCGCACTTTCTCTGAAGTCTAAGAGAGCGCGGGCTTCCCATTTTTGTTGTTTGTTCTGTTTGGTTTTCACACAGCAAAAAAACATAAATTTGAAATTTGAAATTGACGCCTCCCGGTGTCTGGGTGTCGTGATACCTTCGAGAAATGAGAGTATTCTTTTACTGGGAGTTCCGATTATTTAGAATGATTTCTATTGTCATCAAAAAGTTTCTCGATGACACATTGTTGAAGGGACTAAGCAGTCTTAATATTATTACCTTTTTTTGTTATTTATTTGAAAATATATATGCGATGTAAATAATATGTGTGCGTGTATGTGAATTGATGTTATTACTTAGTAATGAATTTAAGTATTATACAGGTATAAAAAAAAGGATTCTATACTATTATGTTTTTTTCTTTCTTTTTCAATTTATCAGTAACCATGTTCAAATAACATAGAGATAGATTCACCATTATGAATACGACGAATAGCTTCTCCAAATACGCGAGATACATCAATAATGTCAACACGATCATTACCTAAATATTCAACAGTTTGTTGTTGTGGTACGGTGTTAGCTACAACTAATTGATCAATTTCTGATGCTGCAATACGTTCTAATGCATCTCCACTGAACAAACCATGTGTAATTAATGCATACACTTTTGTTGCACCTTGTTCTTTTAATAATCTTGCAGCTCTTGTAATTGTATAGGAGGTGTCAACTAAATCATCAACAACTATACACACTTTATTACGAACATCACCCACCAACATTGTAGTTTGAACAAATTTTGAAGATTCCGAACTAGTTATTGAACTAATTGATGAACTACTGGAACTACGTCTTAAATTTGAACCAGGTTGTGATACCAATGGTCTATTTGATACAGGTAATGTACCACCACTAGTTAATGTAGCATCCGGTGGACCCTTTAATAATTGTGATCTACGTTCTTTATGAATTAAAGCAAAAGATAATTCCAATGCATCTGCAATAGCTGTTGCACGTTTTGCACCACCCGCATCAGGTGATACAATTACAGCATCTTCATAATTTGGTATATTATGTTGAATATAGTTTTGTGCTAATGGTTTACAATATAAATTATCAACAGGTATATCAAAAAATCCAGGATATTGACGATCATGAAGATCCATTGTAATAACATGATCTGCACCTGCTTCAGTTAATAAATTAGCAATTAATGTACCAGCTTGAACTACCCAAAGTTTATAACCTGCATTTTGTGCATTAAATAAATCTTCAGCATCACCGTTCGTATGACTATTTTGTAATTTCGAACCTGGAATCATTGGAATTCTTGAAAATGATTTGGATGTTGTTAATTCAGGTGCACGAACAGGTTGTGGATTTTCTAAATTAATCGTAGATCTAATAACACTATTCAAACTTTTAAAAGATGAATCTGCACCTGGTCTTCTAGTGGTCAATTTTGCTTCACCTTCCTTTTGCGGTCTATGAATTACTGGTGCACCTTTGGCTGTATAAGGAATATCAGGCTGTCTTGAATAACAAAAATATGGCATCACTGCAGTGACACGAGATGCAGATGAACTCTTACAAGCACTAATTAGGATTAACAATTGCATGAATGCATCATTGACTTGACCGCATCCACTTTGAATAACATAGACATCCTTTTCACGAACAGATTCATTGATACTAATACTAGTCTCACCATTTGAAAATTTACCTAAATGAACCTCTGAGGCCTTGACATCTAGACTTTCACAGATCTTAGCAACCAACTCAGGATTAGAATCACCACCAAATACCACGATGTTACTCATTTTAGTTTAGTTGTTTCTCGTTTTGTTACCGGGTATTAGTTTGGTTGTTTCTCAAATTATTCGTGAGTCTGTTTTATGCTCATCGCAAATTTCTTCTAATTTATCGAATTATTTTTTTTTTGACAAAAAAAAAATAAAATAAAATTCGAAAATTTTTTTTTTCAGTGAAAAAGAAGCCGAAACCCGGGGAATCACGTGGTTAATTGGTTAAAAATGATATGAATTAGGAGTATCATTCTGTTTGATCATTTATTTATCCATATCTACAGCAACAATATATTATCGAAGTGGGAATTTTGTTTTGAGGAAATTATAAAAATATAGAGGGTAAGATATACTGTCAATTACTGTAAGAAAATGTGTAGTTGTTATTAGTTTCGATAATTGAAGGTTAAATACGTAGGGGCAGTAAATAACCATTTGACATTTTAATAACGTTATCTTAGATATATATCTTTACTGCTATTTGGTTCAATTATGTAGCAGAACAATACCAAGTTAAGGTGCGTATGTGAGCAATCACCTTTCTCTCCCTACATTTTTTACTACAAAGAATTGAGAGAGCAAACTAAAAAAGGGTTTAAGCCAATGTATACACAATAACAAATGGTTCAATATTTATTAAGTTGAAGGTTATATTATGCATTTTAAATCTCTCTTGAAAAAATACACTTCTACATACATACCAGTTACAATCAAAGTGGTAGTTGTCAGATTTAAATATCAAACAAAAATATAATCTGACTGTTCAACTAGAGCGCTCCCAAGATGCTTATTAGTACGAGACGCTAGCATAACAAACCAACTTCGAGAATACCAAAAATTTGTTTTAACGAACAGAATTTATGCTTTTCAGTTTGAGATTTTCTCAAGGACACGAGACATCTGCTGTTTATACTGGTGGATATTTCTGAATGATTTCTCTTATTTGAGACTGCTATTGTTGTTTCTTGCTAAAAGTAGAAACAACTCGATGCAAACAACAGAATCTCCCGTACCATCAATTGATACGTCTTTTATGCATCTTTTTGCAACCAAAACAGTAGCTAGCAATTTAACCTATCTTTGAAATTGTTTTCATTTACTACGGATATTTCTATACATCCGAATTATTGACTATCCGAATTTGGCAATAAAGAAATATACTAATCATTGCAGGTACCTAGTATACTTACCGCAAAGTTTACAGACAGGACGTAGTCTGAAGTAGTGGTAGTAAGGTTAAGTAATACTCGGAAGAAAATCGTCGATGGGAGCTGTTATATTTTCTGTTATAAATAATCCGCTAGTCTTGTAGTGTCAGAGCAGAGTTCTAAGTAAAGAAAAACGTGCAATAATGGTCGACAAGCTCAGCTCCTCACGGAGCAATCAAGGATCGTTTAGTGACCTTCTTTTATTTTAGACGTCCTACAGTATCATCTGTCTGTTTCTGTATACATAAGATGTGCTCTTATTTTGATCAGCCGATGTAAGTTTCCATGTCTTGAAACAGTGAAATTGCTCGATGTTTTATAAACGGTATATATAGTATCATTAATCACTCCTCTTGACAATTTTTTGTTTTTAACTGATTTGAAAATCCTTATTGTTGCTATAATTCAAAACCATTGTATAAATCCATCAAAGATGAAAAGCTCAATCTTATTCCCATTAATTTCAATACTCTCTACAATTGTTAATGCTGATACTACTTTAGGGTCTTCCGGTAAGATTCAATTTTCTGGAGTAGGATATGATTTTAGTTATCAACCTATCAGTAAAATTAATAATGGTAACAAAAATTGTTATTGTGAGCTTTCAGATAACGAAGAATGGGTTTCTGGTACAAATACTCCATTTAATGAATATTTAGCTGTTCATGTTAGAGGTCCAACAAAATTATCTAAATTTGCCTATTATATTTCAAGTAATTTTACCATTGGTAATAGTTCAACCTCAACTAGCTGGAATCGTTCTGCATTCTTTGATAATACAGAAGATTTCCCCACAATGGAAAATATAACTTTCTTAGGACATCAAGGGGATGACTCTAGTTGCTTAGGGAAAGCTTTAACTTATATTGGTCAAGATGGTAGAACACCACAAAAGACAAATACTGCTCCTGGTAAATATATGCAAGATGTTTCAAATGTTGAATATATCATTTATTCAAATGTATCATGTCCTAAATCCAGTGTTAATGGTGGATGTGGCGTATACCGTAGTGGTATTCCAGCTTTTTACGGGTTTGGTGGTGTCACTAAGATGTTTCTGTTTGAGTTTTCTATGCCAACCGATTCATCAAATGATACTGGCATTTCATACTTCAATGCTCCTAATATTTGGTTAGGTAGTGATTCACAACCTAGAGTGCTTAGTCAACCAGGTTTCCAAAGTAATTGTTCTTGTATCTTCCAAGGTTGTGGTGAATTCCAAGTATTTTCAGCTAATGCTACCAAGATGAATTCATCTATGCTTACATTGCAAGGTTTGAATGGTAATACATCTCTTGATATCCAATCTATGTACACAAATATGGATGGTTATGGTTCCTTTGATAGACCAATTAATACTACTGTTACAGGTGGTGTGGTTTTTGATTCAAGCGGGAACGTTGTATCGTTTTTATCATCTGATATTGCCTTTGATGAGCAGTTAACTTCAAGTTCTGTGAACGCAATTTTAGCAGATATTCCAGAATTAGGAACAACAAAACAACTTAAAGCAGGTATTCAAACGGCTCCAACTACTACTTCCAGTAGTAATAGTGCATTACCACTGTCCTCTAAGGTCAACAACTGGATGTACATATTTACAATTGCGACCACTTTACTGCATAATATTATGTGGTAATAATCACCGACCTTTTTGTAATTTATTATATCTCTTAAATACAAGTTTTAACATATATAGATGTTTAACGTTTTGATTTTAAAAATTGATAACTATAAGACAAGGAAGAATGGTATAGATTTGCCATCTTTAACAAACACAGTTATAAACAGAAGAACTATTCCAAGAATGTCACTAAATAATGCTCAATATATATCTGACTTAAAATGGTGATAACTTCTGTTGTTTGAGTTTCTTTAGTTTCTGCGCTCCTTCCCTCCTACCCTTAAAACTTTACGGACCGTTGTGGCGATCTATTTTATTTTTCCAGTCGGGCATCTCATCCCCTGTATTACCTAAACACTCACAATTAGGCTGAGGATGACAATGAAGGCAAAAATCTCTCAAGGATACGTACCGCATATCAATTTTACAACCTATTGGAATTAACAAATCATATAAAAACAAAACTTTTTCAAAGTTTTTAGAATCCTTAGTTTAATATTTTCCGAGTTCAAATTTCCTTGCAAAATAATATATATGCAGTCATCTGGTAAAAAAACACTACGACAATTGAAATAAAAATTACAATGAATAAAATTACAATCATCTTCTCACCATACCATGTAGGTCAACGTGATTTTCGTGTGGGTAATGGTCCCAATAGGATTCTTGGGTTTGGTATCGTTGATGTCCTAGAGAAATTGGGATATGATGTGAATATTGTGGAAATACCAAGAGTGGATGAATATGAGGGAGAAATTGGGAAAAGTTTTGAAATTTTGAACAGAACATCTGTAGCGGTGAAAAATGCTGTATGTAACGGTACATTTCCCTTGGTACTATCAGGAAATTGTATGGCTACCACTGGTGTTGCATGTGGTTTGAGAGAAGAAAATCTTGGGTTTATATACTTTGATGCACATGATGATTTAGATTCACCAGATGTGAATACCAATGGTTATCTCGATGCTATGGGATTATCCATGTTACGTGGTGAAAGTTGGAAAGCTCATATGTCTAAAGTACCATATTTTAAACCTATCAAACTTGACAAATTTCTTTATTGTGGTCTACGTGATTGTGATGAAACTCAAATAAAGCGTGTTAAGGAAGCTAATATGAATGTTATATGGGGTGATAAGTCTAAGAAAGTGGATTTCATTAAGGAATTTCAGACTCAAATACAACAGATTGATTATAGTCCTGCTGTGGTCCATTTAGACTTGGATTGTTTAGACGCTGCATATGGTAAAGTCAATGACTTTCCATCTGAAGGTGGTCTGTATGAAAATGAACTTTTAGAATGTATTGGTATGGTTCCACAGTATACAACACCTCGCTCATTGACTATTTGCTCTTTTGATCCTGACTGCGGTGATGGTGATAGAATTGCCCAGATTGCTGTAGAGGCTGTTAAAAGATTTTTCACCAGTTTAAGCAAAAAGAAGTAAATAATACGACTCTAACAGACTTGCATTTGTTTATAACCCACAGGTAGACAGATTATATACTTGAGAGTACTGTACTTCAACGTCTTTAATCTACCTTTTACATATCTAAATTTTCTCTGTATAGTTCAGACAAACCACTATTTATTAAATTTATTTAATATATTTGAACAAAACAGGTTATAAAACGTAAAAAATATATGCCTTCAGGAGCTGTCATTTTTAACAGTGACCAACAGGAATTATATGCAAAAATAATTAAAAAAAGGTATATCTTTATATATATATACAGCTGTGCCTCAGATGTTTAAGTCTCTGTGGGTTCCTAATTGGTTCTATCGCTAAGTGACGCGACCGGCCCAATCTGTTCATGCATAATAATTTTTCACTTTTAATAATTACTATATATATATAAATAAACAGGTAAGACGATTAAATTATTCTTTTGATCTAGAAGGGAGGACAGAAAGAAATAATAATCGATAACGTTAGATAATCGGAGTCAGAAAGATGATCAGTGCAGTGTTGATATATACTCCTCGTGGAGAGCTTGTTGTTTCAAAATTTTACAAAGGTTCGATTAAGAGATCAATTGCTGATATTTTTAGGATCCAAATAATCAACAGTCTCGATGTAAGATCACCTATTCTAACATTGGGGTCCACCACATTTCATTACATTCGCTCCGCCAATAATATGTGGTTAGTGACAGTCAACAGAAATAATACCAATTCTGCTAAGATATGGGAGTTCTTATACAGTTTGAACTCTATTTTGGCAATGTATGCTATAGATAATAGCGAATCCATAAAGGAACAATTCATGCTTGCTTATGAGGCCCTATCGATCATGTTACTGGAAACTGGTGTTATTGTAGATACTGAGTTAACCTCGGTTGTGAAACAAATGTCACAGAAACCAGTTAGGCCTGAATTGATTGCAGAAGAGAGCACATCATCACGCAAAACTAATAGTAGTAATCATAGCAATAGCGGATCTAAAGTTTTCCCAAATTTTTTAAAACCTAATGCTGTAAATAATGTTACAAGAACACTATCTACCAGTGTATCTCCAAAAAAAAGGAATAAGAATGAAGTGGTTTTATATGTTAATGAAAAAATCAACATTTTGGTAGCAAAGGACGGCTCTATATTAAAATCTTATGTTGATGGATCTATTGACCTGACAAGTCATCTACAGGGACGACCAATCTGTCAATTTGGAATAAACGATTCAATGGCAAGAAGAGCAATGCCTCGTGGTGCAGAAACTACACAGTCTATACCGACATCAGCAGCCACTAGTGTAGAACTGGAGAATTGTAAATTCCATCAATGTGTCGATCTTGATAAATTCGAGCAAGAACATACAGTAAACTTTACGCCACCAGAAGGTTCATTAGAGTTGATGAAGTATCACGTGTCTAAGGATCTCAACCTACCATTTAAGATTAGTCCCACTGTCACAATTATGACGTCTCCAAGAGGTGGTCTAAATTCTTGCGGTGTCGACTTTAGAATTAATCTCAAATCATTGTTTCCTTCAAAGTTGTCAGCTACAGACGTGGAATTGAAAGTACCTGTACCACCAGGGACAATAGATTGCGAGATTAATGTTACAAATGGTTCATGCAAATTCATTCCCGAAGATAACGTCATGCTATGGAAGTTTAATAAATTCCAAGGTCTTACAGAGAACATGTTGAGCGCATTTACCGTATGCTCAAATGATACTACCGAACTCTCTTTACAACAGTGGTCTAGACCACCTATTTCTCTAGAATTCGAGTTGTTGATGTTTAGTAATTCCGGTCTTGTAATCCATTTCTTCAATGTTCTACCTTCAAGAGATTCCACGGTATCGACTCGTACAATCAAATGGATTAAATATATTTCCAAATCAGGAGCATATGAGGTCAGATATTGATCTGCAATTGTTCCACTATATACAAATAGTCATCTAAGAAACTTTTTTTGTAATAATAAGTATAAATCATAATCGTTATTATTCTTCTACAGAGTCTGCATCGTCTTTGAAAGAAAGGCCTTAAGGTTCATAATTTTAGGGAAAAATATCTAAATTACATCTTCATACTTAACCTACTCTAGAGATACATAAGACGAAAAAAATAAAATAGAAAACAATTATATATGAACTAGTTGTAAGCATATATGCTTTGGTAATTGAAGTATAAAACTGAGCTCCATTTTAGTCATGGATAGTGATACATTACAAGAACGATTTGCTAACTGGCTTCTGGTACATCGCATCGCTTACAAGGTGGCGATCACTGATTCGTTACCATACGACGCTGATCTATACAACGAGATAAATGATCTAAACAATGCTAATGTTCACCAAAAGAGGAAGATAAGACATTATTATATCGATAGAAGGTTTCCTGATCCTACGTGCTTTCTACCATCTGCTGCCTTTTACCTAATTAAAGGTTTTTATAATGATTTAGAATCTTTCTCAATAAATAAGGACCTCATGGTTACAACAGATCATGGAGAGCCACTATTAGAATATATTAGAACCCAAGGTATGGGTGATTTTGAACCGGTATGGTCAGATACAAGAATACAGGATCCGGCAACCATGTTTTTGCCCAATGATCAAAAACTAGTAGTTGAGAAAGTTGAGCGTCATAATATACCATATAGGCTATCCGATTCAAAGACTCCATTACTCAATTATTGTAATAATTTGTTATGTACGTATGGAGAATGGGTTATTGTAGCAGTCGGTTCCGAGATTCGAAGGTTTAAGATGGATGATGAGATTGATGGGGACGTTATGGAAACTCATAAATCATTCGGGGTATTTGATCTACTATTTGCAGAATATCCAGATGGAATGGTTCTTGAGCAATCACTAGATAGTGATTTTTTTATGAGTTCAGATCGACTTCGTGTAAATTTTATGAAGATTTGTAGATTTCAATCAATAGATGTTCTTTGCGTGTGCACAGAGGTTGGAATTGTAGTTATAATCGATATATCACATTGGATACTCCACGATACAAATGACAGTATAGCCTGTTGTTATAAAATTTGCTCGGAAGATGGAGCTTGCTCCAAGTATGCAGCACTCCCAGTCACGATATTAGATGTCTCGAAGGGTGCTTGGAGCGTAGACATCATCCAGTTAAGCTCAACGGCGTCAATGGTTGCCGTCGGTCATAACGGGCCTGGGATATCAATCTTCAGATATGGTGATGATGATGTGCCAATCTCAGGAAATTTGTCGACACCCCATAATGTCCCATGCCTTAATTTTGTTCAAGGCTCATTGGATTCGCAGGGGTATGTAACATTGACATATGTCACTGTGAAGGGCTCCATCAGTGCGATTAAGGTGAGGTTTATTCAAAATAATTTGGATGTGATTCATTTGGATACACAACTAGTTGATGAAATGGCATGGACTATAACGCCATTGGTGAGATCTGACTTCTTATCTGTACCGATGTTTGAATTGTTAAATTTGAACTTCAAAGAATTTTTCAAACAATCTATCATATCATCAGCTATGATGGATACAATGGTATTAAATGGGGAATTACCAAACTTAAACCTATCTAATCGTTTAGGCCCTGGTACATTAACTACACAGATTCCGGTTCCAACATCGAATTTGACTTGGAGATGCGTGGCAGGAATGTTAGATATACATGTTAACTTAAGATTTACCACATTTGATATAGATGGACAGATAGATTCTGCAGCTTTAATAAAGGGTAATCATGAGGGCTTTGCGTGGCAGGTATTAAATGAGAGAACGGAACTGAGATCAAGAGAGCGAGTAGAATTGGATGAGAGGATAAACCCTATAGAGCATTATTATTTAGATAATCCTAATCAAGTAAGTTATAAAAATTGTTTCAGTGGAACAGATACACAAAGATATGAAAAGCAATGGAACAATGGGTTCTTAATTAAACAATGTACTAGACCCGAATCTGGCTCAACTACTTCGCTAAATTCTAGGTCAGTGACACCTATAAATAATACAAATTTTAGATTTATAACCTCTCAAATAGAAGGAGATGATTGGGAAAGTAGTTATTCCCCAAGAGAATTTAAAGATATGACGTATGAATGGCAGTCTAGGTCTAAGTCATACCGAGATGGGTGGTCGGCGTTTCATAGAATTCCTCATCCTCGAGTTATAGATATCGGACCTTCGGTAATAGCACAGAGTACATTATTGCCTTTACCATTAGGCATGAAACCACTCACAACGAAAGGTATTGATGAAGATGATGAATTGACAAGTAAAGAAACATTGGCTCATATGAGTGTAGACAACAACAACAGCAACGACAACAACAACAATAATAATAATATAACTCCATCAAGAGTAACATTTTCTGCCGGGACAATAGACAGTCATTTTGATGACAATGATGACGAAGGGTTGAACCGTAGATTAGAGTTTGCACATGATCAACAAGGGCAATGGTTTTTACACAACCATGTGTCTAAAGTGAGAAAATTAATGAAGTATATGGACTTGAAAAAAGAGGATCCAAAAGAACAACAAAATAATGAGAAACAAGTAATCGACTCAATAAATGACGATGACTTCTTATTGGTTACTACAGAGTCCCGTATTCTCCTGATGAAATTGTTTCCATTAATAATAACATCTTTCAATAAGGACGAAATTTTTCCACTTAATGAGGTTACGGTGTGTATCCCACATTCATTTATTGACTCACTCAATAGAATTAATTTTATTTGTCTCATAAAAGAACTGAATTGTATTGTTGTAGCATCTCAACTGGGACTAGTATCCTTATTGAGATTAACGGAATACAAGGGTATTCTTTCATTTAGACAAGAATATATATTAGGATGGCAACCACAAGATCCTCAAAGACCCGTAGACGGTAGAGATGAATGCATTAAGGATACAATGAAGGATCGTCATGGAGATGGTATTGCTTGTGGAGTGGACGATGTTGCGTTTCGTTTATTTAATATTATTGGTATGGATTATACTTATATGCCTTACGATAGAAACAACAAGACTGGAGGTTACGCTATATTATTTTTAAATTGCCATGGCGAATTACATCGATACAAGATCACAACTGGGAATTCTCACTTTAAACTTTAGTAATGCTGCATTTAATATTTAGAATTGTTTTTTTTTTAGTTTATTTCTTCTTTTTTTTATTAGTAATATTTTTTGGGAGTTTTCGCTAGGAAGAAGAGTGGTATATATACTTTATATATAGTTTGATATATCAAATTCATCTCTAGGTCGAGTGTCGTTAAGTTCTCATAAAATGAGAGGATAGTATGGGTTTTATAAGATTACCTTGGACCAAATTTAGCCATGGATTGTGCACCACCTTCTTGCCATTCTTGTTTAGATAGCCACATATGATCCTTGTCAGCCATAATACTAGCCAGCACGGCACCACCAATAAACACCATATGTTTTCTTCTTGGAGGATCCTCGATTCTCACTTTGAATTTATCTAGTCTGGAAGGATCGTTATGCAATACTCTGGTATACCATAACTGTTTCAATTCTTTTTCTAATCTGGAAGGTAAACCGGGGTACATACTAGAACCACCGGACAAAACAATGGCTTTATACAAGGATGATCTCACGTCGACGTCTGCAGATTGAATAGTGTTGAATAGCAATTCTCCTACACCAGCTTGTTCGACATCAACTAGATTTGGCTGGAACAAACATTCTGGAGCCTCGAATCTCTCCTGGCCAACTTTAATTATTCTACCATCTGGTAATTCATAATCCTCAACTAAAGTTGTTGTCTCACGAGCCAGTTTAGTGTCCAAATCCAAATCATACGATACATAACAAACTTTTTCTTTAATTTGGCGCACAGTTTCAAAATCTGCCGTTCTGTTGAAAGTATATCCACGACGTGACAAAAGGTCAATCATATGTCTAGTTACGTCTCTACCAGCAACATCAAGTCTTCTTGTTAAGTGATTCAATACGACTGATTCATACACAGGAACAATGTGCGTAACACCATCCCCTGAATCGACAACAACACCAGAGGATAGACCTTGCGCATATAACGCTAGAACGGCCTGAATCGCCACGTAGACTCCACCAAAATCATATTTTTCAAACATTACTTCACACATTTGTTCTCTGTTTTTCACAGGATTCATAGGCGGTTCAGTAAGAAGAATTTTTCCATTACTCGTAGTTGGTAGTTTCATTTGATTATAGAATGCATAATCCCATAGTAATTCCATATCAGTCCAATTTTTAATTATACCATTTTCCATAGGGTATGAAATTTGCAAATATGAACGTACATCACTAGCTTCATCACCAATCATTATATCCTTCAAAGGTGTAGTTGTAATGGCACGTTCTTCGGCTCTCAAGATCGGTCTCCCAACAATAGATGGGAATGTAAAATCTGGGAAGTTCTCCCCAGCTCTACCGATCTTAACAAAACCGGTACCTTGATCTAGAACAATAGGGCTATGAGGATCCATTCTTATTATTAGTATTCGGGTATCAAAATGACACAATTGTTATCAATTGACTTTCTTCCAGTTTCTCAATTCTCTGTTGTCCCTTTTTATTAAAAGCTTTATGCTTAACTTTTCTTATTCTTTTGCCCCTTTTAACAAATAAGCGATTCTTTTGTTATTCTGAAACTTTTTCGCACTCTGCGTTGCAAAGAAAAATAGTGGTCGTCAAAAATGATAACTACAACAAACCTTGGCGTTGCAACTCAAGGAAGTCTTCATTAGAGAGAACGTTACCTTCACGGTCCTCTACTTCCTCCACAGATGCATTGTTGTTGGGCTTCATAGCATTCTTATTTGTTGTTGTATTGTCGAGTGATTCTTGCAGTTTTTGAGCCTCTTTTATTGTCGCTATACCGTTGAATGTGGCCGATGGTTCAATTCCAAGACAACGTAGTCTATATTGGTGCTTTGGATCATGGAAATGACGTAAGAACTGGCGCCTACCTTGGAAGGACTCGTTACCACATATTTCACAAGTGTAGTTGATATCGAGACCTTGTAACTTGTATAGCCAGAAGGGCATTGGGACACCGTCGGGCCCTACAGGCATCTCAAGCGCAACTGTTGCAGCAGCATTTATATCTTGAGAATTTTCTGTCTTGTCATCTAAATTATCGTCATCATCATGTGGAGAATAAGTGGGTGCATGGTAAATTCTTTCAAGTTCTTGGATCTCTTCCATCCGCTCATGCGCCGTGAATGCCTGTTTTCTTTCGATAAGAGTCTTGGTGCTAGCGAATTCATCACGAAGTAAGGACATGTATCGGTGTAACTTATATTCAGCAAATAATTCATTTGATCTCTTACATAATTGCTTTAAGTGTGGCTTCCCTTTTGTATGGTTTTCAAATACTGCCTTACCTTTGAAATATTTCGAACAAATAACACAAAATAATCGTGAATCATTGGGGTCCAAAGGCGAATTCGAATAATCTTTGAAATCACGTTGCAAATGACTAACTACCACAGTTTTATCAATAATACAAAATTTTCGATGGAAAAACCCCTCGACATATGACGACAGTTTTTTCACAAAATTCATATATCTGGGACTTTTGCGATCCATTGGTGGTTTCTTCAAATAGTCATCCTTATCTATGAAACATTCGAACAGTGATAAATATTGAAGTAAAGTACACTCTGTATTTTTACTTGCTTGCAACCATTCTGAGTACAAGGGTTCCAAATCCATGTACTCACCGTATTGCTCTTCTCTATTAAAAACATCATTGATACGGAGACCTGCAGCCCTGGTGGATAGAATCGTTGTAGGTTTCGATATCATAGCATACTCCTCTATCTTTGTGTCCAACTTTGATACAAGTTTATCATTAGATTGGATCTGATCTATCTGTAATTTCAATTGGTTCAGTTTATCCTCTGTTGAACTTTCATTCTCTGGCAACTTTGAAATTTTGTTCAACTCACTTAATTTTCTATAGTAGTCATCAAGAAATATCTTGATTTCATGAAGCTGAGCCTGAACCTGTTTCGATGATCTATGTGGCTTGCTAGTCTTATATACTTTATTTCCTACTATTTGTTTGGATGATGGTAAATGAACTTTTGTACGGCAAAGCGATTGCAATTTGTCCAAACTAGAGTAATACAGCTCTGGATTGCGCTCCAATCTTCGACTTATGGCATCCTCAATAACCTCAAGGTCCTCACACAGACCAAGTCTCTTATCCAATTGCGTCATTATATGTTTCTTATGGGCAATCTTTACTTTTGTCGTAGTTTTGTTCTAATGCTTTAAAAGTGAAAAGTGTTTTTTTATTTTTATTTTAATATACAAATTTTAACTATAAGATATGCGATGCGATGAATAAAATTATAAATAAAAGAATTATAAAAAGGGATCAAATAGAAACAGAAAACTTATCAGTACTTCCTCTTCTTTGATGGACGAGCATTCTTGGCTTGTTTTTTCTCTTGTTGAATACGTTGCTTACGGATGTCTGCTGTGGATCTTAGTTCGTTTCTTGGAGCTCTTCTATCGTTGTAACCCTTTACAGATGCACCTCTTTCTATGGCAGCAGCAACCTTCTTCTTTTGTTTGTGGTAATCGTCTCTATGTTTATCAGGCATACGTGGAGCCTTCATTTGCTTGTGTTTGAATTTACCACCCCTACCGCCGTTGCGGTTACCAGTTGGGTCGGATAATAAGTTGGATGGTACAGCATCCTCACGAGCACCAACTTTCAATGGTTTTAGTTTACGAGCCTTAGACCATTCGTCAAATTTACCTGATTTGAAACTTGCAGCAATCTTTTGTCCACTCTCACCAATAATATATTTCTTATTATCAATACCTTGCATGTTAACATACTTCTTACGTTTCTTATCCCATTTTACAGTAGCAGTTTGTTTATGTACTTGAACTTTGTCATCATTATTCAAATCATACATTGCATCAGCTGCATCGTTTGTGAACCCATTTGTAAGTTCTAATTGTTTGTCTTGAATGGCTCCGACAGGAGCATAGTGACTTAAGAAAAAGTTAGGGTCCTTATACGATTTACGACTTTTCTTCTCCTGTTGTTCCAATAGTACATCAGCATCTTCGAATTGGCTTACTGCTTCCTGTGAGACAGTGTAACCTGCTTCATTGTCATTACCTCTTAGAATTTCATCTTCAACATTATGTGTTAACCCTGCAAGTCTTTCCTTCTCAAGTAACTCTTTCCTTTCAGCAGCTTTTCTTCTAATTGGTTCCAATTGTTTCCGTCTTCTCTTCATGAAGATCGACATCTCATCATCGGGATTTCTTGCAAATTCAAAAACTGTCTCCTTGTTGTGTCTATTTTGTAATTTGGCTAAGAAATCAAGTTTTTCCTTCTCAGGATTCTTGCCAAACATGATATTTTGATCATCCCAGCCGGAACTGATAATTTCTTTACTTCTCTTGACAGACTCTGGTGAAGCAGAGGTACGAGTTCTGAAATACAATTTTTCTGCTTTCATAGCGACACCACGAGCAACTCCTAAATCGAAATTAGATTCTAGAATATTCTTGTATAGATCACCACATCCTTCTAGTTCAAGTCTTGGACAAGCACCTAATACTATACGTTTGGTGTATGGGATTGGAGGTGGTTTAAACATAAGTTCTTCTTTACCTTCTTCAATCCATTTTTTCTTTAAAATATTTGTTGTGGTATCATACATCTGCGGTAATAATACCTTTCTACCTAAGAATAATTCCAAATCCAATAAGTATGGTAATTCATTGTCTGAAACAATCGAATATGCCCAACCTCTGGAACCAGCTCTGGCAGTTCTACCAACACGATGGACAAAAATCTTCGATGATGAAGGTAAGGAGTAATTGATAACATTGGCCAACAAAGGAATATCCACACCTCTGGCGGCAACATCTGTGACAACTAGGATTGGGGTCAACCCAAGTCTGAAATTGTATAGTTGAGCCTTACGTGCATGTTGGTCTAAAGTACCATATAAGTACGATACCAAGTAACCAGTATCTCTAAGTAATTGTGAGATATATTCTACATGATGACGAGTTGGTACGAATAAGATTGTAGCCTTTTCAGATGGTAACTCGTTAGCAGCAGGCATTCTTTGTTTCTTGAATTTTCTGTACTTTTTGCTGTTATTTCCCTTCTTCTCATCGTCGGAATCATCATCTTCATCATTCATTGCATCAGTAGCAACCTTGAATTTTTTGATATCTTCAGCTGTAGCAATTGGAATCTTTATAACTTCTTGTAGGGTATATAGTAAAGTAGCTTCTCTTTCATCATTCTTTGTGGATAAAAACAACATTTCTAAGTTATCCGAGATCTTGGACTCTGCATCTAATCTAACTAACACTGGATTAGTTAAACCTGCTTTAGCAAAATCTACTAAGGAACTAGGTAATGTAGCAGAGAATAAAAGAGTTTGTCTCGTTGAAGGAAATGCTGCAAGTAGTTCGTTCAATTGGTCTTGAAAACCCATTTCAAACAATCTATCTGCTTCATCAAATACAGCGTATTCAATACTTTTCAAATCTAGATCCATTTCCACTTTCAAATGTAAGAATCTACCTGGCGTGGCAATAATAACATCGGGATTCCCCATCATCATTGAAAATTGGTCCTCTAAGGAGTCACCACCAGTTAGTAATACACCTCTCAGTTGTGTTCCCTTAGCAAACTCCTTAAACACATTAAACGTTTGCATAGCCAGTTCTCTTGATGGTGATAGAATCACAGCTCTAGCACCAATCTTCCCTGAGTGGGTCTTCAACTTCTCGATCATTGGCAGGACGAATGCTGCGGTCTTACCAGACCCCGTTCTTGCCATTCCGACAATATCTCTGTTCTGTAAGATTAATGGAATAGTTTTTCTTTGAATAGGAGTTGGTTGACGGAAACCCTTACGACTGATATTGCCTAGAATGAATTTAGAAAGACCGAAAGAAGCAAAACTACCTTTCTTATGTTTTGTAGTTGCGGCGTTAGTATTAGTGAAATAACTGTTCACATCATCATCGTCGTCGCCAGCACCTTTGCTCTCCTCAGTATCGGATAATTCCAACACAGGAAACGACATATCTTTCTTCTTTTTGACCACTGGAGCCTTCTTTTGTGCTTTTTCCTCTTCCTCATTGTCACTATACTCGATGATGTCTGCGACTTCTCCAGATTCATCGTCACTCCCACTCTCACTCTCACTTCCACTGCCGGAATCCATCACCAGTTCATTTGCGATATCTGCATCACTGTCACTGTCACTGTCACTGTCATCTCTGGACCGTTTATAAGTATTCACTGAGACCATCGTGATTATTCTGTTTGCTCCCTTTCTTATAACCTGTCTAAAGTCTATAAAGGTCTCAAAGTCATCAGTTCTTCTTCTTTTTAAACTGAAATTTTTCAGCTCATCGCATCGCCCATTGCAATCTGCAAGAAAATTTTTCGCTTCAAACTGAAATTTGAAGCACCGAAAAGAACAGAAAAGATGGTAACAGATATACAATAAGATTGTAAGGTCAATATGGTTTGTAAGGTAATGTGAATGTGACTACTGAGTTATAGTTCGTTAGCGAATCGCATTTATGGTAGTTCTTGAAGAGATTGTTCAGGCTACAAGAGGTTTCTATTAAATTACTGGAAAATTGAACTTTCATTATATTTAAAGGGTGCGACTACTGGGTGTCTAGTTATTACAGCTAAGTAAACTCGTTCAGTCACAATCCCCTGATGACATAGGGCAACATCAGCTCATTACTTTATATATTACGTTTGCCCGATAGACATATTTACGACTAAGGGACCATGGGCTCGTATTGAAGTTTTGTGTGTAAATCTTGGACTATCATGTACTCTTGGGATCTGTTGATCATTGTAATCATCTTCTTTGATATATACATATGACATAATAATGTCATTTCAACTATATCTTGGCATTATTACCTTTCTAATAGAGAACTCCATAATTATTTGCTCATTTCACGTGATATGGGGACGGTCCTCCTCCAATGACGTCCAAATGTTGGGAAATATATATTTCAACTATATAAAAGAGAAAGAGAAAGATACAGAGTGAACAAGAATGAATTCAACTCTTTGCCCATATATTCTTGTGTATTAAAGCTCAATTGAATGTATAGAAAACAGTAAAGATGTTTGAGAAAGAGTTAAAAGTAGCTACAGAAGCTGTCCGTTTGGCATCACTATTGACTAAAAGAGTTCAATCCCAAGTGATTGCTCATAGAGACTCCTCTACTGTGATCAAATCTGATATGTCACCTGTGACTATTGGTGATTTTGCTGCACAAACTGTGATCATCAACGCCATCAAGAGCAATTTCCCTGAGGATCACGTTGTAGGTGAAGAGACTGCAGAAGGATTGGGTGATCCTTTCCTAGAAGAGATTCTAAAGGTTATTGATGAGAATGAAACAAATTTCCAACAATATAACAGTGCAAAGGATGCAATCCCTTTTAAGAATCAACAATTCCCATTGAAGAGTGTGGATGATGTGCGTAAAGTGATTAATTTTGGTGATTATCAAGGTGGAAGAACTGGAAGATTCTGGTGTTTAGATCCAATTGATGGTACAAAGGGGTTCCTAAGAGGTGAACAATTTGCTGTGTGTTTAGCTCTCATTGTAGATGGTGTGACTCAAGTTGGTTGTATTGGTTGTCCAAACTTAACACTAGCTAACTACGGTTCCAATGATTTACCAGGCCATGAACCATTTGGTTATATATTTAGGGCCGTAAGAGGACACGGTTCCTTCTACACTACTAACACTTTGCAAGAACCTTGGGTTCCAATCCATGTAAGACAATTGAAGAATACCCACGAAATGGTTACTTTGGAAGGTGTAGAGAAATCTCACTCATCCCATGACGAACAAGATGAAATCAAGAAAAGACTTGGGATTACTCAATCTTTACATTTGGATTCACAAGCCAAGTACTGTTTGCTGGCCTTAGGATTAGCAGATGTATATTTGCGTCTACCGATTAAATTAAGCTACCAAGAAAAGATATGGGATCATGGTGCTGGTAATGTCATTGTCTTGGAAGCCGGTGGTCAACATACAGATGCGTTTAATGATGTTCCTTTAGATTTCGGTAACGGTAGAGTTCTCCTAACCAAGGGTGTTATTGCATCTAGTGGTCCTCAAAAGTTACACGACCTTGTAGTGTCTACTTCCGCCGATGTCATGGGCTCAAGGAAGTGAGCTGCATTTCTTTAATGATTAAATAACCTCATTATATATTTAATTAAAACCTTAAAAAAATAAATAGATGATATTAATATAACGCTCACATTGAATCTCTCGCAAAAGAAAGACGGTCAAAAGAACTCAATAAAGGAATGAAACAGGTATCAATAACAACATTTAATTGTGGGAAGTGTTTCCCATGCGACGATAGAGTAGAGATGCAAGCGGTATTGAGTTGTTTAATCCCTCAGAATTCAGAACCCCTGGATATATATGTGATGGGATTCCAAGAACTAGTAGAGATATGGGAAGGGTCATTTGATCAGTTAGTCACCACTGTGTTATTAAAGATTGGTGAAGGGGCTGTATCCCTGTTACAGCTACGGTTTCCGGAAGCACAGTTTCAGGTCATAGCGACATCGAATCTAGGTGCCATCGGTACCGTAATCATTGGAAAACAGTCACTGCAAGTAAGAGATATTAGGAAAGCTAATTGTTCAAGAGGAATGTTTTATTCAAACTTGAAAGGTGGTACAGCTATCCACTTGAATTTACTAGATGATGATAAGTGGGAGAATTTTGTATTTATGAACTGTCATCTCGCGGCCAATGAAGGTGAATGGAACAGGGAGTTAAGAGTTCAAGACCAAGGTGCAATTATTGAAATGTGTTGTAATCAATTCCAATTAGCTTCATTATCACGATCACATGCATTTTTCTTAGGAGATCTCAATTTCAGGAATATTATACAGTACGACGTAGACTCAACAGATTACTCGAATTCAAGTACAAGGCAAGAGATATTGCATGAAATAGATGAACTCAATGTTTTAAGACGGAGAGGATCGGTATTTTATGGTTTCCAGGAGTCACCCATTACCTTCCCACCTACTTTCAAGTATTTGCTGAATGATACAAACAAATACAATTCAAAGCGGGTGCCTTCATGGTGTGATCGAGTGTTATTTTCCAGTTATGATCATAAACTGGATGCAGAGTATATATCACTTAAGAGAGAACAGCCGCTACTGTTCAGTGATCATCAGCCAGTAAATTTCACGGCCACATTACCCGAGTTGCACTATCCTCGACACACTATCACATCACGGTCCACTACAACCGATTACTTAAGTGACTCTGTTGATACAGTCATTGGGTACGCAGGTTGGATGGTTTACCTGAGGGTCCATTGGTATCTACTAGCCTTCTTAATATTATTTATCATTTATAAAAAACTTTTATAATAAGATTATAAAAAGTGAAAAATTATTTTTCACTTTTTAAATTACCAGCACAATCATAACAAGACTAACCTCACGATAGATCTGTGATCAAGATGAGTCAAAACGAGTTTGATATACAATTAGAACAGGAAATTAGTCGTGCCAAGAAGGCTATTGAGACAAAGAAACAGAGGAGGGGACAAGATAACAAGATCTCATATGCTGATCAGCAACAGTTGAGGGACCGCACTGGGTTCAAACTGAAACTGGTTGGTACAGACGCTACTAAAAACAAGCAAGTGGATCCAGAGTACGACGTTATTATTGATGGGCCATTACGTAAGATCAGTCCATACTTTTTTACATACAAGACCTTTTGCAAAGAACGTTGGAGAGACATGAAACTAGTAGATATCTTCACCAGCGAGTTCCGTGATCGTGAACCTGTCTACTATAGAAAAACTATTGCTAAAGGAGAAGTCCTAGTAAACGGTCAAGTGGCAGATTTAGATACCATCGTGAGGAATGGTGACTTGATTACACATAAGATGCATCGCCATGAACCTCCCGTGACATCAAAACCGATAGGGATTGTGTTTGAGAACGATGATCTTATGGTCATTGATAAACCAAGCAGTATTCCAGTTCATCCAACTGGAAGGTTTAGATTTAATACTATCACAAAGATCATTGAGAAAGAAAAAGGGATTGTAGTACATCCATGTAACAGGTTGGATAAACCAACAAGTGGTCTAATGTTTCTGGCAAAGACTCCTCATGGAGCAGATGAGCTGGGAGATCAATTGAAATCCAGAGAGGTCAGTAAAGAGTATGTCGCCAGAGTCATTGGAGAATTCCCTGTGGATGAAGTTGTCGTAGAGAAACCTGTGAGATCAATCGATCCGAGGGTTGCACTAAATGCAGCCTGTAATATGAATGACAAGGATGCCAAACCTGCAAAGACTGTGTTTCACAGAATTAGTTACGATGGTAAGACAAGTATTATTAAGTGTAAACCATTAACAGGGAGGACACATCAGATTCGTGTTCATTTGCAATATTTGGGATACCCAATTGCCAATGATCCATTATATTCAAATGTCAATATCTGGGGCCCAGAACTAGGTAAAGGTGGTGTCACAGAATTTGACGAGATTGCTAGGAAGTTAGATTTGATTGGGAAGACTGACATGGCAGAAAGTTGGTTTTATCCAAATGATAATGGTGAGAAGTTGTTGAACAAACAATGTGACGTATGCGAAGCAGAGCTTTATACAGAACCAGGTCCAAATGACTTGAACCTTTGGTTACATGCATATCGTTACGAATCAACTGCTAGGGATCCTACTACAGGTAAAGTTAAATGGAGCTATAGAACTAAATTCCCAGATTGGGCTCTTGAACCTCATCGCAATTATATGGAATTAGCGATCAAGGAGGCAGACAAATGTGGGCCAACTACAACAGCGTTCAGTGTTGGTGCTGTTATTGTCAATGGTACAGATGTACTATCTACGGGTTATTCTCGCGAATTACCAGGTAATACCCATGCCGAGCAATGTGCTTTAGAAAAGTATTTCGACAGAACAGGTCAACGGACCGTTCCTCCAGGAAGTATCATTTACACAACAATGGAGCCGTGTTCCTTAAGACTGAGTGGCAATGATCCTTGTGTCCAACGGATCTTGGCTCTCGATGGTAATATTTCTACAGTATTTGTTGGTGTTATGGAGCCTGATACGTTTGTCAAGAACAACACAAGTTTAACTCTTTTGGAGTCTCATGACATTAACTACATTCAAATCCCAGGATATGAAGCCCAATGTACTGTCATCGCATTTAAGGGTCATGAAGAAGACATGGATCTTACAAATGATTCACAATAGTGATTTGACTTTTAATGTGTGTAATATCAAAATGTTTATCACTTTGTACGACTAGAATGTTATTAAACAAATTTTTCAAATTTTGAAGATTTTATCAAATTTATATAAACTGTGGATGGTTGCAATGATCTATTTCAAGGGTAAGGAGAATAACTAAACAACAGTATTTGTTAGGTTGACCAGTCGACTAATAATAGTTATTTACTAAAACTTTTAATTAGGGAGTGAAAATGACTGATTTAATTAGTGACCCCGTGTCAAGTAAACGATCACTTGCAATAGAAGATGAACGCGATGAGGTACCCATTGTAAAGGATCACGTAAGTGATAACAGTCTTCCAAATAAGAGGTTGAAATATGAGCCAACTAATGAGAATTCATCTTCAGAAGATTCAGATGTGATGATTCGAAATTCTGTGGGACCCCTAGACTCTGGGGACGAGGGGAAGAAAAAACTAGAAATCGAACCTAAGGTTCAACCCTTACGTATAGCGAGGGATCGCCACAGTAACAAATATATCTATCCAGAGGTAGACCGTGAAGCAACAATGAGTGCCAGAGGATACCTGAAACATTTTGGTCTTCAAAAATTTTTGGATGCATACCTACCACAGGAATTGAATTCTCTATATATCCATTATCTTATTCGTATGCTTGGGTTTGATGTGAAAGATCGTGAATTAGCGGAAAGAATCAACGAACATTTGATAGATGCAAAGGAAACTAAGGAAGATGATTTGACCTTTGATAATATAGATGACCCCCTAGAGAAGAAATATGTTGTAAGATTAATTAAAGATCTACAGAAAACAATAAATAAAGTTTTATCAACAAGACTTAGACTAACAAATTTCTATACGGTAGATCATTTTGTCGAACGACTGAAGAGTGCGCAAAACATTCTCGTTTTGACCGGGGCAGGTGTTTCGACATCCTTGGGGATTCCTGATTTCAGATCCTCTCAAGGGTTTTATTCTAAAGTGAAGCATTTAGGGCTTGATGATCCACAGGATGTCTTTAATATGGATATATTTATGCAGGATCCATCAATTTTTTATAATATCGCTCACATGGTCCTCCCTCCGGATAATATTTATTCTCCTTTGCATAGTTTTATTAAAATGCTACAGGATAAAGGTAAACTATTGAGAAATTATACACAAAATATTGATAACTTAGAATCAAATGCTGGAATAGAGGCAGATAAATTAGTTCAATGTCACGGTTCATTTGCTACCGCATCGTGTATTACTTGTCACTGGCAATTGCCAGGATCTCATATCTTTGAAAATATTCGTAAGAGAGAGTTACCATTATGTCCTTACTGTTACCAAAAGAGAAGAGAATATTTTCCGACAATGACATTTAGAGAGAACGAGGAGTCTCAATTGGATAGAGGATATAGCTCTGCTCCTGTGTCAAAATCATATGGTGTATTGAAACCTGATATAACGTTCTTCGGTGAAGCCCTGCCGTCTAAGTTCCACAAGACAATACGTAAAGATATAACAAAATGTGATTTGTTGATATGTATAGGGACAAGTTTGAAGGTTGCACCTGTCTCGGAAATTGTCAACATGATTCCAGCCCATGTTCCCCAAATATTAATAAATAGAGATCCCGTAAGACATGCAGAGTTTGATTTAAATTTATTGGGCTACTGTGATGACGTGGCCGCTTTGGTGGCCCAAAAATCACAATGGGAAATCCCACATGAAAAATGGAAGCAATTGAAAGATCAAAAATTTTTATATGAGGAAATTGATAAGGGTACTTATAAAGTTGAATCTCGGTGATTATAAACACCAGGTTACAGGAATCTTAATGCATTTGTAAATAAAAATTCAGCATATACACAATATAATTAAAGAAATTGTTACAATATTAATACCTTATTTTTTCTTTATATACCCAGTATTAGCCCAATTTTGAATAAAATATTTACGTTTATATATTTATTTTAATAATATTACACGGTATGTATCTTGTAGTTATAATGTTTAAACTACTTTGACATCCTTTAACAGATCTTCCATATATTTGACAATGCAATCTATTAACATTGACCACTCTTCTTCTAATTGCCTTCTTTGAGTTTCATAACTTATTTTTTGCTCCTTCAAGAGTTTCTCTGTGGTTTTTATCTTCCCATTTATCAGTACACGGTTAATATAATCCTCACTTTCCTCCTGTTTTGGTTGAATTACTTGATAGTAATGTTCAGATATTTCTTTTCTTTTCAATTCGAATTCTTGATTTTGTGAACCAAACAATTCTTCAAGGTTTTGTAACTCAGGTTGATTAATTTTAATTTGTTCATCAAAAATCGCTATTCTATCTAACACTGTGCTTGATAGAACATTTTTCAAATTTTCTTGCTGTGTTGTCAATTGTTGTTTGATCTCCATTAATGTTCTTTCATTTCTTTGAGAGTCATGTAGATCTGTAGACAAAATTCTTAGAAGGTCATATAATTCATTGATAAAATCTTCATATACTTTTGCAGAGATCTGTAAATTATTTTGTTTCTTTTCTAACTCCTGTTGTTCTGACATTTTTGTTTCGATATCCTTTTTCAAAGTATTTATCTCTGCAATTAATCTATCCATATCTATGTCGACTCCTTTTTGTAATTTATCTCTCTTTGAATCTAATTCGATTAATCTATATCCAACAGATTCAAGTCCCTTCAATAAATTTTGTTTTTCAATTCTATAATTATTATAATCAATAGAAAACGTTTCCTGTAACGACGTGAGTTTCTTCAGTTCAGATTCCAAATCCTTATTGTGTTCTTCTAATTTATTATATTCTTCATCTATTTTATTTTCAAATTCTACACCTTCTAAATCATTAATGTTTATTCCAACTCGTTGTAAATAATCACCAATCAAATCCTGGATATCATTAGTTTGTTGTTTTAATAAATTGTAATCATCGAATTTAGATCTTAGTCTATTTAATAACATTTCCATTGTAGCAATAAATCTTTTACAATCAAACATTCTTTCTTCTCTAAATCGTGCATAATTAACAACAGCACTTAGAAGCCGCCTCACACGTTCAAATACAGGTTTCTTTAGATCCATCATTCCAAAATCGTTAACACCTATATCCTTAAAGAACCTATAACAAGTCCTATTCAATGTTATTATTCTTAAAGTTGGAGCTAATAATCTTGTTTCCTCATCTACCATTCTCTTTGTTGTATCATTGAGCGTTGTATCCGATAAAGAACCCGTGAAACCTTTAATTATTTGTTCGTAAAGACTCATAATATATGCAGATGTAGGTTTCGATATCTCATCCTCTGTAGCTAATGTAAAATCACAACTTTCTAAACACATCACAATCTCCGGTACGTCCAACAATGGGAACACATCTCTATTCATAATAAACCGAAAAATGCAGAATACCTTTTTCTTTTTTTTATTTTTTGATGTATAACTTAAATGCAATCAATGCAAAACAGTAATCCTTAATCTCACTTTCCAATCAATAATCCACTTTAAAATGAAATCTCATTACCTGTATATCCTTCATTATATGTTAAATCACTCTATTTCCTTTAAAGTAAACAAAAAAAAATAAAATTTCGAAATTTTTAATTTTCCAAGAAAAAATTCAAGTTTTTGGGGACAGCCAGGATTCGAATAGGAGCACAAATAATGGGTAAAAACCTAGGGATGTAACAAGAACTAAGACATAACGTTACTTTAAGATGAACTGCACACACACACTTACAATTAATAATTCTTTTATTAGAAACTTCCATACAGAGGTTAGTGTAACAATGTTCAACTCTATGTATTTAAAGGAGGAAACATTTTCGAGATTATATATATATATATTTTTGTATGTTGACATTATTCCCCATCGGGTAATCTTGGGCATCACCCTGCAGAACTTGAAACTGAAATTTTCCAAAACTGAAATCACAGCAAACTTCTAATCTAACATTAGTCGTCAAGACAGGCAAAGTGAGTGAGCGAGTGAGTGTGTCCCCCCTTCCAAAAGGCAACAAATTTGCTATTCTTATTTATAACACTTCGAGTCAAGCAGGTATAATTAAAATATATAAAGTTTGTTTAATTGTTGTATTGTCTTTGTAAATATCGTTGGAATAGTTTGTTGATCCAGACAATATTACAATTATTAATCAATAAGAAGGGTTTATACCAACTTACCACAAAGAGAGAGAAAGAAAACTTATTAGGAGTATAATAATGTCAGGACAAGTGATAGAACGTAAGACATCCCCACCAGATGTTTCGAGTACTCAGAGGCTTTCGGCAATGATCGATTCTCTTCATGATATACAGTCTAATGAGGACTTATTGCAACTTTCAAATCAACAACCAAGCAGTGAAGAATCCCTAAGGGCGCCAAATAGAAGTTCATTTATGCCACCTTCAGTGAGCTCTTTTTCACCTTATCAAGGTTCAAGTTCAGTTTCAGATTACTCTGGGGTAGTTAATCAAGCCATGGAAGTGATACGGGTAAATAATAATCAAGTGAATACAGTCCAACCATTGAATATACATGAAACAATTTCTAATCTTGCATTAAACCAAAATGATATTGATAATATAGAGATGACTTCTTCTAGTGATAGTGATGAAGATAAAAAACCTTTATTACCGAATTTTCCAACAGAAGATGATCTAAGGAAGACAAGTTACGCTTCCAGGTTACCAACATTCATCACTGAAAGAAGTAATACACCTGTGGCTACAATAACTGATTCTCCAGATAAGAGCACTATTACTTCAAATGGTTCACAAGAAAATAGGAGTATACCTTCACGTCTCAATTTAGAGAAAGAAAGAAATCAAACAGGTTCAGATTCTGGTTCAGATGACGAGGTTGATGTAGAGAAAACAGAAAGGGAATTAATATCATTAAATATTCGTGATCCGAATCATTTACATTATAAGGAATCAAGTATTAACGATATTGATAACACAGATATAATCGAGGTGAGTGACCACAGTTCTATTACTTCAAGTATAGGGGAATCATTGAATGAAGATGGAGTCAATAAAAAAGATGAAATAGTAACAGATAAGAATAACGTAATTACGTCCCCTATAGTACCACCAAGAAGTAAAGATAGGCCTAGAGCGAATAGAATACCGACAGAGAAAAGAGTTATTGAGGCTCAACAGGAGGAAGCATTAAAACTACAACAACCTCATCCAAATAGCCACAAGTCTCTAACATCATTTCAAAGTACCACAAACAAATCAGAGAGTTATTACTCTGCAGCTAGCTTCCTACCTGAAGATGATGGCGAAGGAATAGACAATTTATCTATTCATGACCCACAACAATTTACAGCAATGAGTAAACCGGTTACGGTCGTTAAACCGTTGGGTCAATTCTCTAAGGAAGAATTATTCGGGGATACACCATCAAAAATGCATACAGTTGATCTTGATAATATCTATGAAGATATACATCCAGCAACGCTACCTCCAAAGAAGGTGAAGTCTAGCGTAATTCAAATATCAGCAAAAGCGCAAAAGAAACTTAAAAAGAATAAAAAGAAAACAAAAGAAATGAGAGATTTCAATGTCGAAACCATTAACGAGTTATTGAATGTTACAAAGGGTACTTTAGTTGGTTCAGAATTTTCAAACCTTGGGATGAAAATAGAAGAAAAAAGATTGTTGGAAAGATTAGTCGATTCGCTATCCAGATTAACAGCAGATATGATATTGGAACCAAACCGCTATGATGAAGGTTTAAGAAGAATAAACAAGGCCACTAGGGCTCTTGAGGGCTTTGTTGAGGAATAGACCATTTTAGCATGTTTCACAAATATATTCTATAAAGAATAAGTGAATAAAGGAGTATTCTATAATGATGAAACTCTTTTTTAGGCTTAAATTCACTTCCTAAACTACTTCATATTTTCCATACATATATATATATATATATATCGATTGTGGTTTACATGAATACGTAGAATATAAATAATATATATTCATAAGGTTACCATAGTATTACTTTCAAACCTCTCATTGAATTCCACTTTAAGATGTTCCTTTAGTTTAGCAAATTTGTTTGTGAAGTTCATTCCACAATAACAACAGATTAAGTCATGGTCACGTAGATACTCTTTCTCAACTAATTTATTATCCAAGGGTTTATTTTGAAGTGGTAAATCATGCCATTTCACAAAAAAGTTTGTGTTAAAAGAATTATAATGTTTCTTATTCTTCAATCTTGCAGAATAAAAGTCCTTTGTGATAACGTGAATATGTAAGTTATTCATCGAAGGAACCCTATGGACGCCAACTTGAATTAATTTTTTTTTGAAATCTTCCTTCAAGTTTTTATCGAGAATAATATATTTCTTAGTGAACTGCTCAACAATATAATCTATGGCTATCTCGATATATGGTTCCATTTTACGCTTAACGTTATCTGATAAAGCTGTGGTGGGATGTGATTTTGATAGTAATGGGTTTCGGGGCAAAATTAGTATATGTTCTACAGCCTTTGGGAACCCATCTGTAATCAGAACAACCTTCGAATCATGATATATTACACAAGATCCGGAATTAGGATCTGTTAAAGCCTCGAACCTTTCTGGATGGTCGATATACTGTTGTAAGGCTCCTCTCCAAAACATTTCTATTTATCGATTATGTTTAGATCACCAAATAAAGGCGTTCCCAAACAGTGAGGATTAATTTTCTTTTGGGCTTCCTCTTTAATCGAGTACTGCCCTTTAGTAAATATAGCTATTTCAAAATATTATTATCGTCATTAGATTACTTATTTTTCTATTGTAAGATGAGGTCTTCGTTCATGAATATTTACAACTTGGGGCCATTTGAAACAGAGGATCGTAAAAGGTATAATTAAGAGTACTTAATAATGTGTATCAAATGAAATATCCTCAGAATAACTCCTTTGTTAGATATTTTGATTATAATTTTTTTTTTTACGTTTTATTAATATTCTTTAATTTTTATAATTTTAGAACCAAATAATTCATATACTGTGAAGTACAATTCAGTAAACAAAAAAACAAAAGTGACATGGAATTAAGTACTGCAAACTTCGTAATTTTTACAATTATTACTGAGCTGAATATTCTAAGGTATACAGTATGATATATTCACAGGAGCATAAAAATTAACATTAATTAAGTAACACATTGAATGTTGTGCGCAATTATTATAATTGAATAAGCCTATACGAGGATACTTGAATAAGAAGTTCATGAATGTGAAGGTTAACAACTACGCCATTAAATTCGTAATATATAAAGATAGAGATTTGAAATACAAAATCTGTATATTAAATAATCCTTTCCGAAATATATTGAGATGAATTATCTGTAGTTGTCGGAATTTACATGATAGAAGAATGACGTCAAGAATATAAAATATAAGAATAAAAGTGTCAGAAACTAAGGGTAACTTACTGTGACACTTAGTCCAAAAATATTGTAAAGAAATAATTAGCAATATTGTAAAGAGACCAGCAAAAATATTTAAACCAGCACAAAACATAAAAAATAAAAACAAACCAGCAATATATGCAGGTGAGTTGTTTAAGAAAAACTAATGGTATATATAAAGCCATTATTGTAAAATAAGAAATATTTATGATTAAGTAATTTGAAGATTATATAATTTAAAATAACGGATCAATTATCATA